AAGTCATGTCCCAAGAAGGCAGTGGGCAAGGACGCAAAAATTAAGTAACAGCTGCCGACCAAGCGCATCCACTAGCAGTTCTCTGGAGGCATGGGGAAAATAGTGGAATAACCTTTTTTACCTCTAGAGCTTAGATGTGAAAAGGGTGAGCTTAGTCCTGTTTTATTATGCCAATCAGAGGAACCCAAGGGGCACAATGGGCTTAAAGCTGCAATTTAATTCTCTCTGCCAGTGGGGCACAGAGCATTATCACACAGAAAAAGAGAAAGGGAGCACTCGTGGTGTTTTATAAATCAGCAGCATTGTTCACAGATAGCAAATTAAATCATCTCAGTGGTCTAATTGCTGACAAGAGGAGTGAGAGGGGTTTTAGGGAATAACTTAAGTTTATCTACAGTGATAGACAGGCCTTAGCTAATGGTGTCAATAGGTGCTTCCCATTCAGCCCTCCACATACAAGATAATGCACACAGTTTGCATTCAAGCAGCAACGAGCTCACTAACTGCAACAATTTATCTGCGCTCCCCAGAACAGTGCTTTAAGGTCAGCCGAGTAAGACAAGGCATCTTGATAATGTGTGTAAGCGATGCTCTGAAAATGAAGGAAAGATTCATCATGAAATATGAGAAAAGTGATATTTAGATTTAGAGCAAAAAATAATTACACCTCAGAATGCTGCAAAATGCAGACCCCATGAGAGAGTCCAATGCTAAAATTATCTAATAGCAGGCTGATTTATGAGCTATCTTTATGCCCAACACCTCAGTAAACAATATACAATTTGTTATAGCATAACATATGTTGTCACACAGTTACAGCTTGTAGATTAGTTTTAATGGCTGTAGTATAACTAATGGGCTGTATACTTTTGGAGACAGATCCTAATGTTTAGTAATGGAAAATAAAATGTCCAGGGGGCAAAAAGAATTGCAAAGGGCTTTCCCTTATAAAACAGATAACAAGGTCCACAGAGTTAGGAAGCCAATGCTTGACTGGTTCTAATAATGTTACAAAACTACAAAACCTATTTTCATTTTAGTCAGCATTTCTTTAATACTTCTAATCTCAGTGAAAGTACACAGGTACCTATAAGATACATCTCTTCACACACTCACACACACTATGGACTTTTAAGTTGTACTGTATTTGATGTGAAAAATTAAAATGTGAAATTCATCAACCTTTTCAATAGTCAATGAGGGAAATAGCTATGCTGAACTATTGCTAGCACAGGATGAGGTTGACAGAATTTGAAAGAGTGGAGCCATACAGTATTTTATGGTCGTCTGATGTTATCCCACTTGGTTTATGCTGTTAAATGTGTGGATTTTTCATTCAAGTTAATACCAAAAATAGGCTGATCTCTGGAAGTCTGTGCACGTCTCTTTCCAAACTGTTCGATGACTGTGGTCCCTGGGTGTTTGCATTTCTCTAATATTGTTTGCACAGACATTCGCTCAAGGACATGCCTCCTGGAGGTGCACACCATTGGTATTGATTAATTTATACAGATTTTCCAATAAAAGTCTGTACAGGCTAGGCACAGGAATACAATCAAACATTATCAAATATGTCTGTCATTTTCTTTCTTCTTCTTCTAATCTTTTTAGAAGCATAATGCAAAATACAAATTTACAATTTCAAAAAAGTAATTTGGATGAAACCTTGCTTTTATTATGAGTTATTTCTGCCATAATTGAAACCATTCTGCTCCAATGGCTGTTTCACATTTCCCAGTAATGACAGTGATGCTCTGTACCTTTGCAAAGGAAATGAAAAACAGCTAATACTTGTAGTAATGGGATTAACATAATCATGTTACATTAATCTTCACCTGTTTTTTGTGTGATGTGAACTCATAGTGACAAGCGAAGAGAGAGAAATAGGGGGACTGACAGGCTAAGGCAGTCACATGTCACATTATCAAACAGGCTCTCTGCATCTGAGAAAAGCACAAATATTTCATCGGCTGTTTAATATTCAGAGCCAATTCTAAATGAAAGCAATGTCTGCAAACGTCTACTGCTGTCTCTCTGTCCCTCTGTGCATCAAAAGACTCTGATTAGTAGAGCCATAGTGGGCCGGGATTGCTCGAAGAACTTGTTAAAGACTGATGTGTTGGAGCAGAGTTTGGGGCTCTCTGGTGCCAAGAGAGTCTGCAGGAACAGCATGATCCTGGAGTGGCAGCAGATAACTACGCTGGTGCATGGTCTAGGGACCTATTCCTCTCTCTCTCTGTCTTGATGAGCCTGGCACTATGTCGCAACTAAGAACATTACACCTTAAGAACAATAATTATGACAGGTGTACAGCTGCAAAACACAGTGAGCTGCACAGACCTTGGTATTACTGAAGTTCAAGCTGCTGGGATTGTTCAGTGTGGTTATTTCTCAGCAAAGATAATACACAATTAAAATACAGATGTACAAAGTACAAATATAAAATAATCTAACATATTATCCTGTTTATTTTGGAATAATCAGCATATATATAGCATATATAGAAACCACAAAACAAAACTTATATTGTGAAATCTGTCCATGATGTTTAAAAATAAATTGAAAAGATTTTATGGGAAGGGCATCGGGCATAAAATGCCACTGATGTAATACTGATGTAACAAATACAAAAAGTAGGTTATTTGCTGTGCTGTTCCCAGAGGGAAAATTGCATATAGACAGAATTAGATTACTATTTTTGTAGTGGCATTGCTGAAAATTGGACACCTTGTCTGTGCGTGACCAAATAATGAGAGTGTACCTGCTGGGTCATCAGCCGCAGAATTTGATGAAGTGTGCAGGGCTCTATTTGCTCCGCCTCATCTGTCTTGGACCAGCCAGCTGTGTAAAAAGTGAAGAGGCAAGGTTAACAATGAACAGCAGCCCACAGCACACCAACATCAAAGACATGTCCATTTTTCAGGTGTCAGACTGTCAGCCTTTTCACCTGCTCTAGTCTGAAGATTGAATCTTGGAGGTGAGCTGCTGTGGAAACTCAAAAGCCTTCACCTTTAGTACTCTCCATCTCCTCCTTCAATCTCCATCAGTCTCATCCTGCCCTTTCCCTCATCTCAATCTACCTATTTTTCATTGCGTCTACATCTGGATGGAGAGGTGACAGATTTATAACCTTGATGACTGACAGCAGCTAAAAATAACCCAGTAGAAATCTTATGTTCTCTTTCTCTCACCTAATGTGCATATAATCTGATTTAAAGCCCACCAGCATACTGCCTCATTTAAAGAAGCATTGATTACACCACTGAATATATTCTACATGCATGAGTGCCCTGCAATATGTTGTACAATGGCCTGCTTTTAATCCAGTCTCACACCATTCTTATACATATACCAAACAATGCTAATATTTTTTTCATTAATTTATGCCTGTGTGAAGAAAGCAGAAAACTGTCAGTGCATTGCAAGATAGGCTTTCTGGTGTTGTGCCAAGCAATTTCGCTCAAGCTTTGAATAAGTAAGAAGAAATCAAGCTCCTCTGTGGACAAAACAAAACACATCATAATGAAGCTCATTTTCCAGAAGTTATCTCTTTCAAAGTAAGTCTGTGGAGACAATGTGGGCCGGTGCTGCTAGTGCTAGTTCTATGGATTATTTTTAACTGTTTTTTTTTTTTTTTACATTTATTATAACTTGGAAATATCTCCAGCAAAATCTGATTTAATAAACAAAGACATCTTGTAACTAGGAGACTTACCTGAGACAAAAGATAATTACAGGTGGAGTCTCCAGGCCTTCAGGGTCCACTTAATGGCAAAGTTGTGCTCTGCAGTTGCATGTCCTCTGTTCTGATTGAAATAGAAAAAAAAATACATAGCTTTTGTCACAGCCAATAACTCATAGAAAGAGCCATAAGGATAAGAAAGCACCATAAGGGACTGGCACACAAGCTTCAACATACCTACAGACATACTATGCCGGAATCCTGTAATAGAACCAGCTAATAAAATCTGGTTTCTCTTGCTTTTATGCTTGCGGGTCCTTTCTGTGGCGCTCCCTCCCCTCTTGTCTTACCCGGTTGTCCAGGCGACAGAGTCAGTGAGAGACATTTCTTCCCAGTAGCTCCCCTCTCTCTCCCATCGCTTTGTTCAGCCTGCTCCACTGACTGACTCAAGAGCAGCAGTGAGGCAAGGTGGGCTGAGCTGCATCATGGATTATGTATATTCATCTCTAGCAACCAAAAAGAGGGATTTTATTATAAAACGGATTTTATTATAAAACGGACACAACATATATTTGAATGCTTTGGTGTTTTTTTCACTCAATTTATTCAAAGCAAATGTATGAGGTTTGTGTAGATAGCAAATGGATGCTCCCTCTCACAGCATCTTAAATGGTATGGTCGAGTCTAGTCTCAGTTGGTGGGGTGTGTTATAAGAGGCCGATCACTATAACTGGCTACAGTAGGGAACAAAGTCCAATTTAAAGTAATCATCTGAAATCACAGTTTATTAGATTGCACTTCATTTTTCATTTCCATGCATGCCACTCCTAATGTAGATGGAGAGCCATTTCTCTTCACCATAAAATACTTGTGATGCCTAAAAGGGCTTTCCAGATAAAATGTTTGTACTGGATGAGGTGGTAATGATTTCTATGGCTGCAACCTTCACATACTCATCTAACATTTATGACGCACAACGCTTAATCCAACCATCATCAGTTTCTTTCAGTTTTAAAATGTAGTACCTCGACATCAAAAAAGGACCTGCTTAGAGAGACAATAAGTGTAATTTCACATCTCCACTATTAGCTGAGTGCACCATATGTGTTTGTTTTTACCCTTTGGCACACGTTCTGTTGCGACATTCATCTGACCAAGAATATTTCAACCACTGGAAATCAATACAACAAAATAAAGCATGTCTAATTCTAGATATTGGTATGGCACTGCAAAAGACAAACAAAAAGAAAGAAAAAACAGATCGATAATCTAAATGTCATTAAATCTATAAAACCCAATCACATTTTCCACAGTAAAGTATATTTAGAGAGGTTTAATTTCACATATCCCCTCTCTCCAGACTTCACAGTACCACAAACATTGGCAGGCAAGAACATAAAGGCAAATTTTACATGATCATACATACCACTGAGTATAAAATATCCATAAATATGCATAGTCCATTTAAACACTTAAACTTAGAATGACTGCCTCCCTGTATATGCATGAGAGATACCCGTTACTTCTGAATAATAAGCATAAAATTCTCATACAATCTTGCAAAACATTTGATAAACATACAATAATTGACAACAGGAGGCATGCAGTTTTACTACAACAGGTTCTTTCTCACTAAATGTTTCTCATCTAATCAACAGAGAGCATAACCTACACTTGCTTAATTAAATTAAAAGTTGGTTATTTTAATTAACGCATTCATACTGTTCATACATCTAATCAAATGTGGTCCTCTGAACTTGAAATAGGGTAGTACTTGTAATTGCCTGTGCTTTTTTCTCCTGGAAAATGCCTGAACAATTAACAGAAGAGCATGTGCTGCAGTAACAGCATAAATACAAGATGTACTGTATAGGTGACCCTGAAAAATAAAGTTCATGCTAATTTGCACGAGGGAGGTGGAGAACAGGATGTATCCAAAAAATCAAAAAAACAGTTTGTCTTCAGTGTTGCATTGCAGCTTACATTGATTGAGCTGAATTCTTATTTCTTGCACCTACCAACCGAACTGGAGTGAAAACATAGCCCATCTCATATGTTATTTTTAGCACCTACACAGGCTGATTCAAAGCCCAGTGTCTTTAAAACATAATTGTTATGCTGTGAAAATTGTCCTTAGTAGAAATTACACAGGCCTACAGAAACAGGTAACATGCATACATCTGCATAATGGTGAAAAACACGTTCTTCATGGCTTTAATGTAATAACATTTGGCTTAAGTTTAAATTGTTTTCTGTCTCTACTCAACAATCACAGTGTAACAGTCCATAGCTGCTATTAAACAGCCAGGGCAGTCGCTGACAGAAGAAGTAAACACATAATTATTGGTCCACGGAATAACAGTGCTACTGTCACATACAGTAAAACACTGTAAACTCTGACTCCTATCAGAGCAGTCCTTTTGAAAATGGAATTGAGAGAATTGCTACCACATGTGTGTCTCTCTGATCTCTGAGATTATATTATTAGCCTTTTTCAGAGCCTAAGAAAAACAAAAAACAGGAGACAGGTTAGAAGCTGGCCTTAACAAAGATGTAAAAGTACTTTGTGTTCTCAGCGCTCTGCACGCTAGTCACTCAGAACACACACATTAACCAGTTTTACCTCGAGCATCTGAGCGACCTCGGTCCGCTGCTGCGCCGTGTCCTGTGACTCAATGAGCAGCTCCTGCAGCAGGGGCTGTTTGTAGAGCTGACCCACCAACTCACTCTGCAGATGCTCTTTCACGAAGTTCACCAAAAAGTGCATCACTGTCTTGGGCACACTGCAGACACAAAGCCCAGGGAAAATCAGCATCAATAACAAGAGGACAACCTAACAAAAGGACCATCAGACAAAATGAGGAGGAGACTGCCAGCCCCCCACTCCCCCTTTCTATAGGTGTTTTGGATATGTTCCCGTCGGACCTGTCTTGGATGCTTTTGCGAACAATGAGGAAGTAGGACTTGATGAGGCGCTGGATGACCTCACAGTCTCTCTGCTCCCGCACACTCAGCTTTCGGGGTACTGCCTGACAAAAAAGAAAATGGATGATACACTGCAATCAATTAAATTCTAAACTCATTGTCCTATTGCTAATCCCACCACTCACTGTGTCAAGAAGGTTAACAGCCTGGCCTTTGATAGGACTGCCAAAACTGCCAGCAGGAGCTTTGTCTTCACCAGCTTTCTCAGTTTTCCACCGCTTTCCTCCATCCAGACCCTCTGTCTGAAAACAACATATTACATCAATTAAGGCTTACAAAACTGACAACAATCAAGTTTAGCTGAAAATAATTACTTGATTTTGTCTGAGTTTTTAAATTTTTCTAAATGTATGTACCTGCTGGCTGTTAACAGATGCAGAGACCTGCGCAGCATCTGTAAAGTCTGGATGCTTTGTATTGATGTAAGCAAGCTCAATAGCTACCAAATTGTGAACCTAGGAAGAGAAAAGAAAGAGTGTAGACTGTATCTACTTTTATAAAAGATATGGCAATTGACCATTACCAAAATTACCATTTCATTAGTTATGGGCAGGCGTTTTCTAAGTAATCCAGTCACCACTTCAACTATAGAATCGTGCAGTTTTGGAAACCGTAGAAGTTCCTTGTAAAAGAAGACATGAACACTATCAATGATTAATGCACTAGTCTTTTTGAGTTAATGAATGTAAAATGTGTTCTTGTCTCGAGGCTAACCTGTGTGCTAAAAGAAGTGCAGTGTTGTATGATTCGCTGGAGTTCTTCGTGAACAAGCTCTACACAGCGCAAACTGGGCTCCTCTAACCGCTTAATTTGCCGCTTCACCAGCAATTCAAAGGACACCTCAGGTACAAAAAGGGCTGGCCGAGGACCCTGCAGGGCAAAACACACAAACTCTGCTTTACCTGGTGTTCCTCAGACTGAGAGAGCTTGGCTTGCATTCACATTAAACCAATTATATAAGTTACAGCAGCAACGTACTGTGGCATTGCGGATGGCAGTGAGGATGTCCAGCTCAGTAAGCCCACCGAGCGGGTCAATGGACTGCAAAGTGCGGCCAAAAGTTTCATGGAAAATGTAGCACATTCGAGCCCCCCCGCAGCTGTGGAAAGGAGGTGACTAACGGTCAGGTCAGTGCTGGTATTTATGAAGTGCAGTGGCAATGTCATTTGTGTCAAAATTAAATTTAGCCAACCATAAAAAGGTCAATATTTGCTCATTACAAATTAGGATGAATTAATCTCTTTGTTGAAAGCTCTGATGCCCTGAGATACTTAACATTAAAAATGCATGCATTCAACAACTAACTGTTGCGATTCAGACAACATCTAAACAAAAACTAACAAAACAATGCTTTCTCTTTTCTAGTGTTGAGACTCACAGTTCTGATGTCTGGATGTGTCTCGCTGTTCCCTCAATGGTGTTGCAGTAGTCACTGGCAAATTTAGTGACAATCTGAAGCAAGGTGGCGCTGTGATCCTCCACAGGCTGACCATAGCCATTGAGCTGGGCCTGGTACTGAGCACTGAGCACAGTCACCCGGGTTTTTAGTTCAGGCAGACAGTCCCGGATGTGATGCATGAGAAGTCTACTCAGAGTTTTGGCTAAATAACGAGACCCGGCCCGAGAGGCAAGCGAGGGATAGTGACGCTGCAGAAAGACTTGCTCATCTTTCATAGAATCTTCTAAGCTCTTTTGAGTATTAATGTCATGCTGACTCCTGGAAACAGGCAATAATAAGAAAACATATTTATGAGTATTCTTAACCTTTGCAATAATCGATATATGATACAGGCAAATTGGATTTATAAGACATACCTATTAACTACGCCAATAATGCCAAGTCGTACTGGAATAACTCGACCCAAAAGAACCTCAACAGCATCAGTCCCTGCATCCATGAGGTCCAGCTTACTCACCACCAGCAATGTTCGGCGTCCTAAAACACAGCACATAGACAAAAAATGTATCATTTTTACTGTTACCTTATACCAAAAATAAACTATGAAACATGGTCACAAAAGTACTAACAACATAAGTAAGCATTACATCTTTGTAAGTGAACCATCAGTGACTGTCTATATTCAAGTCCTCCCTGTCCTCTCCATAGCAAACCATAATACTCACATTAATTTTTAAATAACTTTAAATGGCCAGTTTACTGTCAGCAGTACACTTTTGCTGAAGGGGCTTGTGAGTACATGACAAGAATGATCCATAACTATTCATCATTTTAAAATTCTACTGTCTCTGAAAGAATGTTGGAAGAAAATAAACATTTGACTCAACAAGGAACACTTTTATAAAATAAATTACCATCTGGATCAACCTCTCGAGCCAATTTCAAAGCATCAGATGTAGCCAAGTCCGAGTTGGCAGGAGACACAGTGAGGATGAGAGAGTTTGGATTGGAGATGAATGACAAGATCATTTCATGTACTTGTGTCTCAATGTCTTCAGGCTGATCCCCCACAGGAACCTAAGGGTGACAATGTGAGGTCAAAGCACAGCCAAAGTGTCAGGTTTAATAATGATGTCATGCTCCAAGGACTTGTTTCAATATATGACAAAGAATGAACAGAGGGGATTTGTTTACTTTAGTTATTCCAGGTAAGTCCACAAGAGTAAGACTGAGAACTTTGGGAGAAAAAATCTTCAAATAAATAGGTTCTGGGCTAATGCCCTAGAAAAAATAATAAACAACTGTTAGCAATTTATGCATACGGTGTGTTAATGTGTAATGTTTTCAGTGTTTGTTCTCACCTTATTCTCTCCTGAAGTGCGGTCCGTCTCTGCTTCAATTTCACGTCGGATTTCATTAAAGTCGGTGAAAATCTTTTGAGACAAGGAAATTACACAATAATAAGGGTAGCTATAATGTTCATATCATATCCTGTATTTACCTGATTCTTACAATGAAGAAAGGTTCCCCATTCCTCTGCTTTGACACCTTCAGACAAATATCAGTATTTTATTAGTGAATTTTGGATACCATGTTTATTGTCATTTTGTTTGTTTTTTTCATGCATTTGCCCTATCAGAGTGGATCATTTAAATCAATTCTAAATTTCTATAAACTAGTTACAGTATCATGAGTTATAGAATAATAAATAATTTTTAGAAGGAAAAAAGAGTGAACATTATAATTATTTTAGATAGACCTGGGTAGAAGTTTGAAGCGGTTTGTTTAGCCTCATTTCCTGGAATGGCAATAAAGCAGAAGACATAGAAAAGAGAAAGACAGTGTTGAAAGGGTAAGAAAAGAGTATACGCAAGAGTGCTTTGTAAGTCATTAGTGAAAGAGCACATTTGGTCAGCACACAATAACTCAACAGTTATCCACTTTTGCAGATCTTATATGTGTAAGGTAAATAGTAAAAGCATGTTTACCATTTTCTATCTTGAGCCTTTCTGTCATTGGAGGAACATTAATGAGTTGCAACACCAGAGGTCGTCTTGTGACTATCCCTGACCCTCGAGGCAAAAAGTCTCTTCCAACCAGGCTCTCCAACACGGAGCTCTTTCCACTGCTCTATAAAATACGAAAAATGAAACCAATTTCCTTGTGTCCTGATTCACAGTTTTAAGACAATAGTAAATTTACCTGGGATCCAACCACTGCTATCTGTGGTAGCTGTATAACTTCCGCCCCCACTGTCAGAAAGACCTCCTGCAGCCGGTTGATGGTAGGAATCAGCGTCTCCATCCTTGCAGAAATCCGTCCACTCTGAGAATATTGAATATAAAGTGTTTCATTTCACTGATGGAAAAGAACGTTTAAGGAAATTACAACTGAGCATTTGAGTGAGAATTTTTCATGAATTAAATTATACTAGTCCTGGGGTGATCAAGGGAGGTGTAGCACCACGGAGGAAAACCAAAGACGACCAGTGTCCCCATTTGACAAACAAGGCAAAGTGACATTTATTACAGCAATTATAACCCATGGTTGAGTAGCATAATAAAAGGAGGAAGTGATTATGTTATCCTCAGTTAACGTTAGCCGGCTAAAGCTATCAGTAACTGAAAACTGGAAAGGAAACATCTGCCGCGACAGCCCTATTTTAACAAATACATTAAGCTATTGGAGCATAGAACCTTACCTAAGAAGCACGAAAAAGAAAATTATTTGTTTTAAATAATATTATACGGACAGTCGACAGATAAAATGCATTTTGTCATAAATGTTATCTAAAACAAGAAGCCTCCAAGTCTTCTACGCGGGTGGAGCGCGGAACAGTATGCGCTCTCCTGATTGGTCCACTGACACGCACGGCACAAAACACCACCACTTGATTGGACGAAGCGTCTGACGCGTACAGTTGTGTCCCGCCCTTAATCTAGTCCAAATAAACACATTGTAAATTGTTTTAAATGTTTTATTGTGTATATATAAACATATTTACAAATTATCTACTGACCATGAGATAGATAATGGATAAAATATGCATAACCATAAAAGATATTTCAAACAGAAAGCACACACTGAGGAACATTACTAATAAATAAACTGTAGTTGAGGTGCATTTAAATTGAGATCTGGAGAAATTATCTATATATTTTGGAATAGGATTGTGTCATTCTAAAATAAAATAAAAAATGGGCCATGTTCTTGTATTCTTATCTGCATCTCTAAGGAAAAAGATCTGTAATGACGAAACAATTTGAATCTTGCTCTATGGAAGTGTTAAGTATGACATCATCATTTCATGAGTCCAATTGCTATGGGCTCTGCATCTCCAAACACATCTCCATAAGACAATTCAGCAGTATAAAATTGTAACATTATAGTCAGTCCATATATGAGGTGTCCATACTTTCTCCTTCTGGATGAAGCAGTCTTCCAGCCAAACGCTCAATGTCATCAAGACTGAGCTGTCGAAGGGAACGTTCGTAGTCCTTTGAGAAAATATGAGCAGAATTGTGCACACATTAATAATAATCGTATTATTTTATTTGGATTTTAACATATCTGTACATATTTATTCAATATGTGTAAATAGTGACTACCTTAATAAGTTGCTCATGAACTTTAGCTGCATCAGCAGGACTAAAGTGCTTGGCAAGTACCATAGACACAGTCTGCCATACTCCTCCCTGTGAGCTGCTGTTGCTACTGGTGGGCACTGGAGCAGCAAGCCTCTCTCCCGCTGGACGAATCACAAGATTCAATTTGGCCTCTGGGCCGATGGAGTAATCACACAATCTGTGTTCATCTAAAACAATATTCAATCAAATTTTCAATGTATTTGATTATTCCAAGGAAGTACATTATTACTACAAACCTGCTAGTGCTTTTCCTTTGTAAAGTAGTCTCTGTTGATTTGCAGGAATATTGAGACGCTCTGACACAAGTTCTTTAACTGTGGACACCTTTTCATCTTCAGTCACCTGCAAGCAGAAAAATAATAATATAGATATTATAATGTCAGTTAAGGTAATGTTCTATAGCAGTGCTGTGTTAATTGTTCTTCATCCCAAACAAAACAACTAGCTAAGCTACTTACATAGGACTAATGATGTTATTACATTCTTGTCAAAAAGGTTATGGTTATGCAATTAGTTTCATTTGTAACGCAAACTGTTATTTTTTTGTAACGGCTTAATTTTTTCTTGATCAAAATCAGGGAACATAATACAGTGAATACACAGAGTCAATGGCATGGCCGGTACATACAGTAAGAATAGGTGTAATGAAGACAATCCTTTTTTAGCTTCATAATTAGCATTAACAGCTAAGTTAGCTCAGTCGTAGCCAGATAAAATGTATTGTTTCGCTTACCTGCACGCTGCATTCTTTTCCTTGAAGCGCTTTTACGGTAAGAATCATTTTGGTCAAAATAAAATAATAACACCTAAATGTAAATTGATATGCAACTGAAAATCCCCTAAAAGTAGTTATTTAGCTAAAGGCTAAAACGCCGCTCCTCCTGAGTCTGCGCACCATCCTCTACTCTGCACCGGGCAGGGAGTGGAGCGCTCTAAAGCCACTTGCGCCACCATGTGGTTGGAGTAGTGCAGGGCATTCGAGAGGGGGAGCCATCCTACCATCTTGTGTCAGTATAAATAACATTCCTGTGAAGCGTTACAGTGCAAATATGTAACACATTCACAATTTGAAGTTTTAAATGTGGGTATTGTCTTACACACACATGCACACACACGCACACACGCACACATGCACCCCCCCACCTATAATACATATATATATATATATATATATATATATATATATATATATATATATATATATATATATATATATATATATATATATATATATATATATATATATATATATATATATATGTGTGTGTGTGTGTGTGTGTGTGTGTGTGTGTGTGTGTGTGTGTATGTATATCTATATATGTGTGTGTGTGTGTGTGTGTGTGTGTATGTGTATGTATATCTATATATGTGTGTATGTTTGATAAATGATTTGGGTCTATTCGTGTGAAGTGTAACACTCTTCTCCTCTAAAGATAGCCAGCCCAAAGGCTATATGCTCCCCCCAGCTGTTAGATAGACATTCATTTTAAGGTACTAAGCGTATCCCGGGGATTGTAAATACCCCATAGACCCTCTGACCCAGTTGGGATCCTGTCTTTGCCTCTATCCTCGCACATACCCTCTGCTCGTGCACGGCGTGGTCATGTGATTGGCTGCCGCCTGCCCAGCCCCGAGTCACAGAGCATCCTTCACTTGAATAAAGATCGGCACCTGCTGCACAAACTATCTGCTCCATGCTCTGCTCACACCGGACACCCCGGACCATCAAAGACGCACCAATCATTGTGCTGCAACAGGCGGTGGTAAGTGTATTAGTATTCATAATATATTGTGAAAAATCTAACTTATTAAAGACCAGAAATTAAAATAGATTTGACTCGTTTACGTTTCCCAATTTAGTTTCTTTGACAGAGCGTAGTCTACTTTACTACTTTGTATTGGAAAAGTAGTCTAATTAAAAAAATAAAAATAAAATACTTGATAACTGTTGACCTAGTTAACTGGGGCTACTATATGTGTGAGTGTGTTATTTGATATCCAGCACTGATATTGTGATATTGTATTGGACTAAGGCCCAAGTAAAACATGTATACACAGTTGCATCTGTCTGAACAAACATATTAGAACACTAATAGCCAACAGTCAATTAACCATTATAAAAACCTATGTAGTGATGTGACGTTGCAGGCAATGGGTACACTACGCGACCTTCAATTTGCCCTGCAGCTGAAGATTGAGGAGCTTCGACAAAGAGACGCTCTCATAGATGAGTTGGAGTTAGAGCTGGACACCAAGGACGAACTTATCCGCAGACTTCAGGAGGAGCTTGACCGCTACAGAGTCACTTTTCCACTCCCAGGAGCCTGCACAGGTTACCACAGTACACAAATCTTAGTGCACGACTTGCAAACAACAACCTGATGCAAGGCTGTGTTTATTCAATAGATTCAATAGCTGAGGAGGATGATAAACAGAGATTTAAAAGGAAAACTGTTATTTCTGAACCTTTCACTTTGGACCAAATCACATTTTCTCGCAGGAGCCTGGAGATAACGTCAGAGTAAGCAAGTCAAATTAATTTTAAAAGTCTCTGCCTCGCAGTCATTCTTTGCACTTACACTGAATTTTGTGTATTTAACCTTTATATCTTCAGGTCCCAGAAACTGATTAAAGCTGCCTTTCTGAAGAGTGACTTATTGAAGCACCTTGGTGATGGAGAAATAAATGCAATCATCACCTGTATGTATTCAACCACCATCAATCAAGGCTGTTATGTCTTTCAAGAGGAAACCGTTGGATCACGGGCCTATATTTTAGAAGGTAAATCAATATTTGGCTATTGCTTAGAGGATATTTGTAAGTGTCAGATAAAAGCCAGGTTAGTGTGACACTGTCATCATATCAATTTCCTCACCCGGCCATACAGTATCTGACTCAAATGGCATGGTGTCCTGTGTGTTTAGAAAGGTAAAAAGGGAGGCATTTAGAGATTAACTGACCCCTGCAGATGTTTTGTTACTAAATGTCAGTGTACAAAGCAAAATGTCTCATGATGCTTGAATATCCCCAGTATTCTGCCTGTATTTGTCCCTGAACAATATTTTACAAAACAGAAATCATCTCATGTTTTGTTGACCTTGTTGTGTAAACATAGAGGGAAGGTTGGATGTGAAAAAGGATGGACTTAAGCTCCATACAGTATTCCCAGAAGAGATATTTGGAGAATTGGCCCTTCTGTACAACTGCACGCACAGTTATTCTGTGTCAGGTAAGTATTATTTTTTATTGTAAATATAATAAATAAAACAAATAATAATATAGAGTACATGACAATATTTCTTGCTGCTAAGTGAATATGACATGTTGAATTGAAAAACATTATATAATGTTATGGCCATAGATGTTTGCTAGTATCTACATGTCTATAAATTTAATTGCTGCTTCGTTTGATGTCCAGCTTTTATTTTACAATGAGGATATTAGAATTGAAATGAAGTTTAATTAAACCATGGAAAGGAGAGTAATTTCCGTTTGCGGAAGCTTAGAGAAAAAGTCAGAGTGGGTCATTATAAATTTACAACACCCTCCATTGTAAAGAATGGTGATAATTATGGAATAGGAAATCGTCCTGAAATCTGCCAAAGTCTCTAATAAAGGAGCTCTTATCTCCTGCTCTTTGCCATAGAGCTGTGACTGACCCATTGTTTTGCCCTGTTCGCCTTAGTCCATTACAGGATATGTCAGTGTCTCTACAAGGTTGCTCAATACTTCAGTACATCCTGCTAATGTCTCCACCTCCACTGCCATGGGCACCTCCTCTGTCACCTCATCTGCTGCCTCCTCTTTGATCCTTACAGCACAAATGGACAGCAAACTCTGGGTTATCGACCGCCACAGCTACCAGACCACACTTATGCAGACTGTTCTCAACAGCCTGCCATGTTCAGAGGAGCTCCTGAGCAGGTAAACAGTGATATAATGTATTTGGTCCAACCGGCCAGTGCAAATGATCTTGTACACAATGCCATCACTGTCATGCTAGCGTGCACAGCATTAGAACAAGGCTACTCCCACTTGCACAATCGTATGGTATGTTTACTGATTAAAGTTAGAGACTGATGGCATAACTGCTAACATTTTCTGAAATTCTTACAGTAAATGTTTGAGTGCCATTTAATCTATTTTCTGTCTGCAGTATGCCATTCCTGCAGACATTGCCAGAAGATGTCATCATGAAACTGTCAGATCTTATGGAAGAGGTGTGTTTTCTTTATTTTTATAATAAGTTAATTGTAAAAAAGGAAATACAAGATGCAAAGCAATGTTAATTGCATATCAATTATACTATACATTAATTATTTAAGTATGTCCCTGTTTTAAAATAAAATATTCAACATAATATGTCTCCTATAATGCTGATCTAACAGTTTATAAATCAAAAGTTTGTTTTCTCATAATGGATATTTGTATTGTCCTAGATCCATTTTGCAGAAGGAGAGTACATCCTCAGACAAGGAACAAAAGGAGATGCATTTTATATCATCATTACAGGCCAGGTAGGTTTGTCTTGGATGTACTCTGGCAGTGAGTCTTTCAGTATGAAAACATTGAACAAAGAAGACCAAATGTCAGAGCTGGAGCAGCTTTAGAAATGGCACTGTGATAATTGACTACAGCTCGTCTCCACAAGGCTCGCTCTCTCTCTCTGCCCTCATTTCTTTGTGATTTACCAGGTGAAAGTGACAGAGAAGAAAGACACTGACAAAGAGGAGGCTGTTGTGGCCATGCTTTCAGGGGGACAGTGGTTTGGGGAGAAGGCTCTTTTAGTGTAAAAACAAAGCACATAAAATACTGTATATATTTTGTGATGTTTTATTGTTAAAACATGTTCTTATGGTTATCAGAGAGGAGGTCCACACAACAAATGTGATTGCTGAAGGTGATGTGACCTGTTTGTTGATAGCCAGAGAGTAAGTCTATTTATAATATTTTGATAGCCTTACAAAGTTTTAGTATTTATATAGAATGTGATAAGGTTGTCAGAAAAGAATCAGATACTAATCACTACTAAAACTGGTATCATAACTAGACACTCAATTGAACAGGTATTGATACTAAAGAACATTTTTTAAATAGAAAATTTTCATATTAGTCCATACAGTGATGTTAAAGGACCCATATTATGCTATTTATGATCTGTCATAATGTTGTTTCCTTGTTACAAACATCACATGGTGGAACAGAGCATTTTGAGCTTTGGAGACACTAATAATGTAACATGACTCAAACATGTGTGAATGAAACAAAAGACAACAGACAACTCAGTATGTTTTTGTTGAGGTAACAACATTATAACATGGTTTAAAGCTCACAAGTGTCAATTTTGCATAATAAAAACTACTAATAAATGCTACTTTTTTCTTTTGTAAATTTTTTGTATTGACAATGACAGAGTGTGATTCAGACAAAGATAGTCCATTATATGTTAACTAGAGTGGATATTTGCTGTGTAATATGGCTCAGTATGTATTCTAATGCGATTTGCATGTTTTTTGTTTTCAATATGATGTTGATCTGATTTAATTTAAAGGACTTTCAAAGATGTTGCTGGTGAATTGTTGACCAGTCTAGATGAGTATCAGCAAAGTCAACATCATGCATTTCAGTGGGTAATGACTCAAGATTTAAATTGTCATCTGTAACGCCACAATTATGATTCAGTTCTTTCTCCTTGACACAGATCCGACAGCTCTGATCTGGCCTCGTCCCTGGATCTAAAGGATTTCCAGGTGATACAGACATTGGCGATGGGGGAGTTTGGTCATGTGGACCTGGTGAGATACGACCTTATTGATGATTACACATGACTATCTTTAAGCACCGCTGCAGTTGTGGGAGATTCTATGTTTCTATAATGTAATCCAATAAATTACCCTTCGGACAGGTGCAGACAAGTGACAAGAGTTGTTTTGCAATGAGGGTCCTCAAAAAGCAGCTAATCCTCAGCAGTGGTCAACGAGAGCATGTCCTGAGGGAGAAAGACATCTTAATGAAGGCTCATTGTCCATTCATAGTCAGGTACCAGCACTTCAGCAGATCACATCATGTTAGATTTTGTTTGGTTTTCTTTGATTTAATGTCATGGATGTTACAGAGAGCTATGTGTTCCTTGCAGGCTTTTCAGGACTCTACAGAATGCAGATTGTCTGTACATGCTGACAGAAGTGGGTCTTGGTGGTGATCTTCCTTCTCTTCTGAAAGAAAAGTAAGCCATGAGTAACTTAAAGGAACATTACATAACTTTTTTGTTGGACAAGACACCTGCTTGTCTCCATGGAAATGTTATTGCCTTGCCTGGAATGTTCCACAGTATAGTATTAAACCTATATATGCCACATTTATTCAATGATGTGTTACCTAATAACACCTAATACCTTGAAAAACACACATTCCTTTGAGTGGACTCACCGCTCCACCTGGTCCTGGTCTCATTGTCTCACCTACTTGTCTCCATGGAAATAGGTAAGTTTAATATCATAATTTGAAACATTCCAGGCAAAGCAATAACATCTCTGTGGAGACAAGCAGGTGGTGGACGCTGCACAAGAAAAGTTACTCAGAGCACCTTTAATATGGATGGAAAAGAAACTATAGTTGTGTTTTGCATTCAGTTGTCATTGTTTTAATTTCTATTTGTTTATATCAGATTGTAATATAATACAAAAAGATTATTTTAGTTTGAATAATAAATGGCTATACTACCCTTATGGCCCTCTTCTTTGTCATGGCTTGGGAGGTGCATTGTTGAAATTCATCCTCACCCATTTTAGCTGACATAGTTACTAGCAAATAAATATTTCTTATGCTGGAAATATAAGAGTTGATAGATAAAATAACAATTAATAACTGTTATCAGTAACAGGACTAATGCTTTGGTAAATGTCTGCATGCCTGACTGGCCTTTCACATTTCTGTATCTTTTTCAGAGGAACATTGGATGAGAACAGCACCAGGTTTTACACGGCTTGTGTTGTGGAGGCTTTGACCTTTCTCCACTGTCGAGGTGTCGTTTACAGAGATGTCAAACCAGAAAATGTTGTTTTGGATGAACACGGATACGCCAAGCTGGTATTTTAACTCAATTCAGCTTAAAACATGACAAAAAATATTATCATGCTTGAATAGAATAAGCCTTATTGTGCTTTCAACATGCACAACACAAAAGTGCTACCCAGCTGTTGTATCACTAATAACATTCAAGAATTCAATTTTGTTTGTCTTTTGTGACATTACAATGGTCCAATCTTTATTCTTGGGTACTTATACTTTGTTCACAACATTGCACACATACACTACACTCATCACTGATTTCTTGCATTGATTTTACATGTGATTGTTTTTTAGATTGGATCTGGATGTCTTAAGAAAATTGATAAGTGTAAGAAAACATGGACCTTCTGTGGTACGCCAGGCTATTTGGCTCCTGAAATCATTTTAAACCAAGGATACAGTGTATCTGCAGATATGTGGTCTCTGGGGATCTTTGTGTTTGAACTGCTCAGTGGTCGGTGAGTCGTTCTGTTAAGCCTCATTTTTCCTGCTCATTTCACCAGGTGGGGGTAAAGATTCATAGTTCTTTCTTTTTTTGTCCCCAGTCTCCCATTCTGTGGCTTTGAACAGATGATGATTCTCACAGAAACCATCCGTGGCATTGATCACCTTGACTTCCCCAAAACCATTAGCAAAAGCGCCTCAAGTCTCATAAAGAGACTGTGCCGGTACATTTATTCCACGATGTTTTTCTACGAAACCAAAACTACCCAGATTTTCTCAGCATGTCAAAGGAATATTCACAATATCACACCTAAGAAATGTTTATTTAATTTTTTTTTTTCCATCAACAGGATCAACCCCACAGAGAGACTGAGCAGTCAAAGAAAAGGGGCCAAGGACATTCACAAGCACAAGTAAGAGGCTGATTTCCCAGTGAACAAAAAGCAAAAACTGCATGGTTGAAGCATCGATGTATGACATATGAAACCCTTTATGTTATTTCATGTAGATGGTTTGAAGAGTTTGACTGGGAAGCACTTTGCAGGCGAACATTAACAGCACCCATTGTTCCAAAAGTAAAGAACGCTTTACTTCATTCTGTGGCAGTCGTGTCGAAAATATGAATTATCATTTGTTGTTATTTTACACTTCAGGTAAATCTCCCCTTGGACAGCCCTTCATCTAGTCATTATCTTGAGGACTCAGGAGAGTTCTACACAAGCTGGGATGAATTCTGATTTCATATTGCTACCATCTGTTATTGTTTCAAAAAGCCAATCTTGTTATGTCTTGTTAAATAAACTAAATTGTTACAGACTATTAAGAAACCATTTGCTTTATCTATAACTAAATTCACTTGTAGAACTCACTTGTGTATTTGCTCAAGTGATCTGGAAACACACAATTGTCAAATTAGACAAGCATGAACAGGAAAAAATAGCCCATAACTATGTCATGAAAACTAAGCTAAGTTACTATTCTGGTTTATATCTCATAAAACTAGGTTCTAGATTGGCTATTACAACAAGGGGTTATTAGGTTAAGTTATTAGGCATAAATATCCTTGCAGTAATTAAACTGGATAACTATTAAATTAGAAACTGTGTGTGAAGCCATGAGGGAGTCAAGGCTTTACAATATTTGCTTTTATTTTGAAACCTCAAACCGGAAATGCTACTGTCCCTTTATTCACTCCTGACGGCTCCTGTGACTGTTGATGGCCCTGCTCCAGTGATTTGGGACCTGAGCCTGGATAATAAGTGGTCTTCCTAAAACTGCACAGGTATGTAGTTAAACTTTGCGTCTGATCATCTTAAAAACAGTAAGGCTGCAAATCAGAGTCTATATCTTGTTTGGCTTTTGCATGTTTTTTCTTTAATCTAGCTGGCCTATAACTTTATTGGTGCTAGACTTGGAAACTTGGAGAGTGAGCTTCTGTTGTTGATGCATGTGTGAGTCTTACAGAGTTACTTTCATTTTACAAGTGGCTTCAAGTTTCAATGCACTTTAAACGAGAAATCAAACTCGAGAAAACAACTTTCTCAGTTTGCATGATATTAATTTGTGATGCTTTTTAGTTTTGCTCCTTCACGTGACGCAGTGACACGTTGCGAGTGCGTGTAGTGGATGCATATCTGAGAGAAGTGAGTGCTTTTCTACGTAGCTGTGAGTATTTTTTTAGTTTGCAATGTATGCGTTTCTAAATTTAATTAAATTATTATAATTAAATTTTATTTTTTTAGCCTAAATTAATAGTAATGTGGTTTATGGTATGGTACTGACAGCCTCTTAAAATCTCCATTCATTTATGTAGTCTGTTATTTCTACTTGGTGTTTTTGTATAGCCTACAATCATGCATGTTATGTGGGTGCACTATTTTGTTGTCATTCCAGGCAGGATAATTGCTACTTTTCTATCTTTTGTAAATCTCCCTTTATTTAGACATTTCTTGCATTCTTTTGTCTGATCCATCATAGGCTCATTTAAGTTTGGTGGGTGTTTCCCTTTAATCAGCATGTTTAGAGACTTTGGAACAAGTTAGATTTTGTTCAGATGGAAAGGTGCCATAGTAGAGGGCATGGCAATGACATTTTCGTGTGTAGGCCTGGTACCTCAAGTTTACCTCTGCTTAAAAGACACTATGGATTCAGATGGTGGCTGGGGCCAGCTCTAAAGATTCTTTCAGTGTGGTCTGAACTTGATGCTCTGTGAACAATAGACTGCAGTAAAATGCACAAATGTGTCTTTGTGCGCTGTTCTGCTTTGGTTTCGACTCTTTAACAGTGCTGTGAAGGTGAGGTTTTCTCTCTCTCTCCACCCCTTTCTCACTTGTTCCTGTTCTTTATGCTTCATTTGGAAAGTGTTTGATTTGGTCAGTTTTGTTGCCTAGTTAGCCTCACGTGTCTAGGCCCAGCTCAGACCATTCACCCCACCATTTTTTGGGCAAACCGTGAGTTGAGTTTGTTCCCCTTCCTCATGCCACCTCCTTTCGCTTTTTGGGTCAAAGCGGAGCATTCCCCAGCGTTCCTCTCATCACCACAGAGATGCTGCTGGCTACTGTAGTGGACTTTTATGTTGGCTCTCGCAGACATGTAATCTGCAGCTTCACACTTCATAACAGCATGGAGATGTGTCCCATGTTGTTTTGCAAAACCTGTGAGCAGTTTAGTATTGACTTACCAAAACTGCCAAATAGCCTACGTGAATGAAACCAGTTCTTGATTTCTCTCTAGAGCATTAATGACATAACTTCTCAAGTAGGCAACGGTTAAAATACAGGTTAGGTTTTTTGAGCCTTGTCCCAGCTTGTCAGTAGAAATGAATGTGCCCAGGCAAGCTTAGGACTGGGTGCAAGCTTCACTCCTTCATGAGAATTCTTGTTACTTCCAGGTATTTGTTGATTTTCTATATGGACTACAAGATGTGCATGGAAAGAACAATCATACATACAAAAAACTGTTAAACTAAATACATATAGCTGTACCAAAATGATGATTTAAAACATTTCTTTTTCATAGGATAGAATGTCATTTTCTACACAAGATTTATTTATAAACACTATACTAGTTCTCATGAATAAAAAAAAAACTAAATTAAATTGATACCTGCTCAGATGTATCTAGTTTTGATACTAATTTTAGTATTGATTATTTTGACAACCCTAATATTTTAAGGGTTTGCTCTTGAGTAAATTCAAAGAGCACAATTATACATACAGTCTATGGTCTGGGGCAATAGTCTCTGTGAGGGGCTCTAATGAATAGAAGTGAGAGACGAGATAGAGACAACAAAGCAACGACTAAACGACAGGAAGTCTCCTTCACAAATAGCTGCCATTTTGAAAACTTGACCCACCCTTTGAAGTTGATTCTTTTTGCACTGTTATGTAAGTGGAATTGTTTTGAAAATATTGCTCCTTGTGAATGTCACTTGGGAAAACCGTGGCATCATTTTCTCAGAGTGAAAGAACAGCACTGGCCCGGACCAAACGGAGGGGAGGGGAATGACATCACCCTATTATTGGGCACCAGGCAGAAAGTGGGTGAGAGGTTGAGGGGTGCCCTCAGAGGGGATTTGTGGATTCCTGTGCAAGTGAATGATATAGTGCTTTAATGGTTCAAAGCCTGACATGTAAGAGTCTAGTGGAATAGCTCTTTCTCTCCGTGGTATGTGCCCCTCACATCACAATGAGGCAGGTTTATTCAGGTGGATTCAAGAGTTTTTGCAGTTCAAATTCTGATTTACTTACTACTATTTACTTATGAAAGTTCATTTTTTTCTTGTTTACTGGGTACAGTTATTCAAATTTCCCAAATGAGATTTTTTTTTTTTACAGTCAATTTTTTTGACTGCTTATTATACAAACTTAATTTCTAATGAATAGTAAAAATATCATCTGATTGTTGTTAGGATAATTAAAATATATTAATATATCATTTATTTTATTTTAACTATATTCCACACACTTAGGAATAGTAAGAATGTCAATGAAGTTGTAGTGTAACAATTAATATCAGAAGAAATTAATATGACATAGCAGCCTGATAAAAAGACACTTTACATTATATTTTGCAGTATAGACTGACTTAAAACAACATAATTTTTGCTTGTTAAAGTGTCCACACCACATTTTCCTCTCATGTTTATACAGTGACTGAGGACTGAGAGTACCCTCGCAGCTCGATAGGATTCCTCCAATCCCTTTCTGCTCTCTCTCTCCCTCTTCAGGCACGCGCAGTCAATTGCCAACTTTGGCTTTGAATGGCACTATTTTTATTTATTTTTTTACATAAGTTATGATAAAAAATAATCAAGTGTACTATATAATATATTGCTGAAGAAAATATAGACAATAAACAATAATATCAAAACTAACTCACTTTCAAAAATGTTTAAAATGTGCGATATTCTTTAAAACTTAAGCTGCAATAAATAAAGAATGAAACACTTGTAGTTAGTTTGTGTAAATATAATGAGTCATAAAAGTTATTTATTCACCTGTTTACAAATAAAAAGTACCTACGATAACTCCCCAAATTATCATCAATTTGATTGTTGTCACTGGGGTACTTTTACAGCCCAAATGTGGACAACTAGGGATGGAAGAAAATCTCATGCCTCAAGGTCTCATCAGACAAAATTGTCACCAGATTGTGCACATATGTTTAAAATGATCTTGTGAGATCTTTTCCCCATGTTTTTAAGTTTGGATTGGATTAAAAAAATGGAGTTAAGTACTGGTGAGTTAAATTTTAAAATAAAGCACTGCTACGGTGACAGCAGAAATATTAAATAAAGGAAATCAAAAAATTGAGAGGCCAAAATTAGGAACTGTATAGCACAATTTATTTATTATAAAGAATGTCAAAATCTTGTCTTGTCTTGGTCCCGTAGATCCAATCTCATGTCTTGTCTTGTATTGTGGAAATTGTATCTCATCTCATGCCTACTGACAAGTGTATCTCTTATTTGTAATTTGAGATGTTTTTTTTTTTTTTTTCAATACTTTACGCAGTGGTATTTGTTCTAGCATTTCAGAATTTATGTTGGACCTCTATTATTGGACAAGCTGAGCCTAATCCTCCACACCAATATTTATCAGAATCTCAAAGAACAGATAATGTTTTTGTTTACTCTTATTTTGCTTTAATGATTTCTGAGGAGTTCTGGGAGCCTATTGTCCATCATATTTGCCCATGATATTTTCTTGTTTATATGTTTTCCATAAAATGTTATTAATATAGTATTTTATCCACTAGTTTTCCAGTACATTACAGTACAAAATGTTCCATCTCTCTTTTTCAGAAATGCCTGTTCATGACTGGTTATTTTCGCTTCGCTCAAACTGGAGACTTAAATTTTCAGAATCTGAGAGTTGTCGAAGCCTCCTGCCATCTCTGCCTCTGTCAACACCTTCTCTGCTGGGTTTAGGGGCTTTGGCCTCAGTCACTGCGTACTGGTTAGTGACCCGACCCCGGCCCATGCTCCCCATAGTGGATCTACAGGCCCAGTCTGTAGCTGTCAATGTGAGCAATGTTTTAGTTTTTATTATTTATTATGTATATTATTTATTTTTAAAAATAATAATATTATTATGTATATTATTACATTTGAAATTTTCACCAACCCTGAGCTCATGGTGACACAAGTCTATGTACACCTGCCGACATGCACACACAGACACACAAAATAAACACATACTACATGTATGCATATCCAATACACATATATACACATACATGCAATACACATATATGCATATATACACATGTTGCACATACATTACATGCATTACAGGCATATATGGACACATATATACACATGTACCATACATACCTATACATATATAAATACATACATATGCACCCAGACACATATAAGTAAATAGAAATGAGTTTCTTTGCTTCATGTTTGTTTGTTTGTCTTTCATTGTGAGTAATGTTGATAACAAAACCCTTAAGTCATTTCTTTATCACCATTCCCTCTTATTCTAACCCAGTACCATTGAAAACATCTTCTTTTACTTCCTTTATTACTGCTTTCATTTTCTTCTTCTGTACAAACCACTGACACATTAAAACTGCTCTTTTGCCCTTTTGAAAATATAATCGTGTAAGTCTTTCTTCTAGGGAGATCCCTCCTGCAGAAGGTCAGCTCTTCTCAAGGATGACAAGCTGCTGGACTTTTACTTTGAGGACACTAAAACGTGGTATGACATGTTTCAAAGAGGCCTCAGAATCTCAGGTGATTATGGACAATGGTATAAACTTACATGGTCCTACTTACTCCATAATTTTTCAACATTATATTTATCAACATTACTATACATTTTGCTAATTAGTTCAACTTACTATTTGATTATTATTATACGATTATTATTATATGAAATGTGTTAATCACTTTTTGAATACTGATATAATAAAGCATGAATACGCGATTTGTTGTCCGTTTTATTCATTATATACAGGGTTGTGGTTTTGTTTTGTTTTTTCAGATTTCTTTAGTGTGTGAATTTGATCATGTTCCCTGTAAATAAAAATAAAATAAAATATAGCTAAAAATAAAATCTGTTACTTGAATTAAGATTTGAGTAAAAACTTACTTGACAAGTAAATAATCTACCAGTAGAACAAAACTTTTTGTGCTTATGATGATATGTCTGTCTAAGATAAGAAACAACAACTCTGTTGCACTTAAAATAAGAAACAGAATCTTACATTGCTTAAATTACTACTCAAATAAAGTAAAATGTTCTTAAATTAAGTCATTTTAACTTACCTAGGTATCGCTTTTTGCAGTGTTCAATTTAAGTTGGATCACATTACAGTTCACTAGTTTTCTTGGGTTAGTTATTCAATATGCAGCTAGTGAAGTGTGTGTACAAGAGTCTGTTTTGTTTGTGTTTCTCAGACGGTGGCCCTTGTCTTGGCTACAGAAAACCTGGACAGCCATATGAGTGGATCTCCTACATTGAGGTTTCACTAATTGTGCTTTATGTGCTATATTTGTTCTTGAGATCTGGCTGCTTTAGTGACTCAATGTCTCCAATCTGTCAGGTGGCAGAGCAGGCACAGCTTCTGGGCTCTGGGCTTTTGGCCAAAGGGTGCCGGCCCAACTCCAGTCAGTTTGTCGGGATATTTGCACAGAACAGACCAGAGGTAAGGCCTTAATGTAAATACAATATAATAACTGTGTGCGAAAGAAGGACTTGCGAATTAGTCTACAAACAGTGTAATACCTCCATCTGATTACTGAAATGTTAATCAATGTTTGTGTATTATTCAAATAAACAATACATAAATACAGTATTATGAGTGCCTGTGACTCATCAGATGGATCAAAGAACATGAAACCTATATCAAATTTGACAAATTTTTGTTTGCTGTCATTCATTCACATTTCTTTTGTTATTACTAGTTAAGTAAATGGAAAAGGCAAACACTTTACTGCCACCTTCTGTACTTCCTGTCCTGAAACATGTATTGATCAGTTTAACAGATTAATTTGTGAAGACACATAAACACAAATGCTTGTTTATTTTCTATGTTTTGTATTTCCATGATAGAATATGTATTTGCCTGACCAAATGTTGTGTCTTTCTGTCTCTGCTGCCCTCTACTGAAAGTAGTGGACAATCTCAGAACTGGCCTGTTACACTTATTCAATGGTAGTTGTGCCTCTCTATGAAACTCTGGGGCAGGAGGCAATGGTGCATATCCTTGATCTGGGTAAGTTGAACATTGGCTTGCATGATGCTAATGTGTCAGAGACCAAACCAAGTCTCTTTAAAATCTAGTTCTATGTCTCTGTTGTGTATCAGGTTTTATCAAACTATTATAATGGTTTTCTTGTTGCTTAACTTTAGTATTCTATACTATTCTATACTAACAACTATACTTAATACAATTACATACTAACCAGACTGAGAACACCCCATAAGCTGCTGTTTAATGCTCATAATTATTGGTATTTCCAAACTTTGTCAGTCCAGCTACTGCCCACTTGTGACTTAATGGTGAGAAGATTATGACCACTTCAACACTTTTTACTTTTACTAATGAAAATATTTAAAATTTGGAAGATTATATTTAAACAACAACATTTATACAACAAAACTTTGAGCACTTTTGTTTTGCCTCAGTACACACAGTCAAACCCAGTTCCTTGTGTTTTTCAGCTGAGATTTCATTGGTGATTTGTGATCGCGAGGAAAAGGCAGTGTCACTTTTGGAGAACAAGGAGAGAGGCGTGATACCTAAACTGTCCTGCCTGATCCTCTTCAATGATTTTAGTGATGCCTTTTTGGAGCGAGCCAAGAAATGTGATGTGGAAGTGCTTAAGTACACACAGCTCATAGTAAGGAGGTTTCAAGTAGCAATTTCCTTTTATCTGATTTGTTTTAAATGACTCATTATTATTGTCAGGAACTGGGGAGAGAGAACCTCCGAGATCCTGTGGTGAGTTCACTGCCTTTTTCATTAAACAGTAAATACCTTATGGCCCTGTAACTGCTGGGATGACAGCTTTATTGATGCTTAGCTTTATAAAGATATGATTAACAGCGGAGGAAGTCTGTTATAATTACATTGTTATATTTTATTGCCCGCTCCAGCCGCCCAAGCCTGAGGATCTGGCAGTAGTTTGCTTCACCAGCGGCACCACAGGTAGTGTCTGTTACCATCTGCATAATGACTCCATATCATTAGACGAGTGTCCTCCTTTGCCCACTAACAAGCTGTACTTTTCTGTGTGGCACTCTTGTAATGTCCTGTTTATTTTTCTTTTCCAGGAAAACCTAAGGGAGCCATGCTCACCCACGGCAACATCGCCTCCAACACTTCCTCTGTTATTAAAATCCTGGAGGTCTGTGTCTACACTTCTGCACTAATTGAGAACAGCTTTTTTCCAGATATCGTCCCTCACAACAATTTGTCTCCTCTCTTTAACCGTCCCATTACCCACTGTGCCTAATGGTATGATTAATTGGTTGTGTGATTGCGCGCGTCGCTGCGAGGTTGTTTAACTAATTGCATAAAGATTGGAGAAGTTGTGCAGAACTTTATGTGTCCCTGGTGCACTGCTCATTTTACACTCTCTAATCTCACAGGGCTATTTTGTGATTCGACAAGATGATGTGTCAATTTCCTATTTACCCCTCGCCCATATGTTTGAGAGGATGATCCAGGTACATATCATTCTTCTCATACATTATTGGTTATGAATATATGATATTGTGGGCTCACACATGTCCAGATTAAGTCCTGATATACACTTGGGTTGGTCTTATTCTAGTTAAGTCTGTCACAATAATTCCTATATCGACTTATCTTTCAATATATGATATTTGGGGATATTTTGGGGATCAGTATTTATGGTGGGTACTTTTCTTTGCAATAGTGTAGAGATTTTAGCCATTTTATGTAATAAGGTAAGATTTTAGCTATGGAGAGTAAAATAAATAACTTCAATAGCTATTTATCTGTTGCAGCTGCTTTGTGTCAGTGGCATAAAGTATACTACTATTTATCTCAGTATTTCGCTGTAACAAAATATCGTGCTTCAAAATTTGTTATCATGACAGGGCTGGTTCCAGTCCCTGTTTAGTCTAAATTTTGATTCTTCAAAACAAGAAACACTGTGTGAACCCAAATCTTTATTTATGCCATTTTGCATTGTTACTCTCATTTGCTCTCTGAACAGATTTTTCAATTGTATAGTTATTTGCTTGTGGTTGCTTTTGTGTGCACTGCTGTTAAATAATGTTTAATATGACATATGTTTCAGGTTTCCATGTTCTGTCATGGGGCTCGTGTTGGATTCTACCAAGGCGACATTTCTCTCCTTATGGACGACATCAAAACTCTCAAGCCAACCTTCTTCCCTGTGGTACCTCGTTTACTTAATCGGATATATGACAAGGTCTGTCACATTATTTTGCATTTTTAAAAACTAATCTCACTGTAGACTTAAAGTTGAATTGTGTTACTTTTCTGGTGGAGCATCCGTCAAATGCTTTTCCTCATGGAGATGTTATTGCTTCACCTGGAAAGTTTTACAGTATGGCATTAAACATTTCTGTCTTCATGGAGACCAAACCAGATCAAGTTTCTAGGTATTTTGTGCTACAAAACCATTTGAATAATTTTTTTTATTTAACTAACTTATACTGTGGAATATTTTAAGCAGACCAATGACATATCCATAGAAACAAGCAAGTGACGGACCCCCTAACCAAAAAGTTACATTTTAAAGTTATATTTGTGTGTACTGTTTTAGATCCAAGGTTCAGTGACCTCTCCTTTGCGTCGAGCTTTGTTGAATTATGCTGTAAGAAAGAAGCTAGCAGAGCTCAGCAGTGGAATTGTAAGCAACAACAGTCTCTGGGACATGCTAGTGTTCAAGAAGATTCAGGTTTGTAAAACATACACATCATTTTGGTTTTAATTTACATGTAGTCACCCATATGTTTCCTTGATTTGGTTCTATTTATCACTTTGAAGAAAAAAAAAAAAAACATAAAAAACTGATCTCACATTTTTCAGTGTTAGGTACAGAGTTTTGGACATAAGTTGGGAACACTATAGTTAGTGTTAGCAAACCTATCAACTATAAATTGAAGGATTTGTGTCTGCAGACTACTGTAATCCTATGATAGGATTATATTATGTGTTACCTGTAGGCTACTCTTGGTGGTAATCTCCGATTTGCCCTTACTGCATCGGCCCCCATCTCCCCCACTGTGCTGTCATTCCTGCGAGCCACTCTGGGCTGCCTCATATTCGAAGGCTATGGTCAGACTGAGTGCACCGCCGGCTGCACTTTCTCTATGCCAGGAGACTGGAAAGCAGGTAGGCATAGTTACATATAGGGCATATTTTCTTATTGTGTAATCTAAAATTTACCAGTTGTCCAAATATCTTTCTGTGTTTTAAGGTCATGTTGGTGCGCCATTGCCTGGTTCCCTGGTTAAAGTGGTGGATATTCCTGAAATGAACTATTTCGCCAAGAATGGAGAAGGAGAGGTGAGCTTTGAGACATACATTAACAATTCAAAGTATAAGAGATAAAAAAAAAAATAGGACCGCTGCCACTGTCACAACATTTTGCATTCTATGAATGGTCAAAAGCCCTATAAATGGAATCCATAAAACATGAGACTAAGGGCCATATCCGGTATGAATTTGACTGGCATAGCATTGACGGGTATAGCATTGTGACAGCCAGGCTCAAGATTTATAGTGGCCTTTTAAATGCAATCCCCCTCTCTAAACCAGATTTTCATTCAGCTATTTTTACTAGAATTTATTTACAAACTTAATTCCTAGATCTGCACAAGAGGCCCAAGTGTCTTCAAGGGCTACTTGAAGGACCCAGAGAGAACAGCTGAGGCATTGGATAGTGATGGCTGGCTTCACACTGGAGACGTGGGCCAGTGGCTTCCTGTAAGAGAATTAATTCTGATTGTGTATTTTTTGTGACATATTTTCTCTATTACTATGAATCTTTACATATTTGTGATTTTCTAGAATGGTACTTTACGCATTATTGACAGGAAAAAGCACATTTTTAAGTTGTCCCAAGGGGAATATATTGCTCCAGAGAAGATAGAAAACGTCTACATGCGCAGTGTTCCTGTCCTCCAAGTTTTTGTGCATGGAGACAGTTTGGAAGTAAGACAAGAAACATGGTCATACATGCTATATGTATTATTCACAATTCTGTGTTTGTTGTCCTCCATTAGTCATACCTTATAGGAATAGTGGTGCCTGACCCAGAGGTGTTTGTTGACTGGGCCAAAGGGCGAGGCTTTGTGGGCTCTTACCAAGAGTTATGCCAGAACCCTGTAAGAGGCTTTGTTACATTCAACAATATAGACTTATCAATAGACTTTTGTGTTTTATTCAATAAATTTCCATCTTTAGGATGTTAAGAATGCCGTGCTGGAAGACATGAAAGCTGTTGGAAAAGAAGCAGGGTTGAAGTCATTTGAGCAGGTTGGCATTGTTTGATCACTTTTTGTTTAGTTTCTGTTGTGCAAATGACCTGAATGTGTCTCTCATATTCAAGGTGAAGGATCTGTATTTGCACCCAGAGATGTTCAGCATCGCCAATGGCCTCCTCACACCAACACTTAAAAGCAGACGCACAGACATCCGCAGAATTTTTCAAGAGCAGCTTTCAGCCATGTACAGTAAGACTGGAATCAAGAGTTAAAACTAACTCTAATAATGTATTATTCACCCATCTGAGCCTTAACTCATCTGTGAGGGTATATGTACTTTTGGCTCATGTTTCTGCACCTTTCAGATGATGATGTCCTTTTATATAAGAGATCAGAAATCTGGGCATCTACTTGCCTGACGTGACACTAATTTAAAATGTAACATTTTACAAAAATTGCTGAAAGTACCAAGCACAACACTGTAACACTTTCCTACCAAGTGCATAAAATGTAAAGGCTGGCTTAATGAGATGAAAGATCATGTTTCTATTGCCATAACTTTTCAAATGAAATGTTGTTGTGTAAAGGGTTTTATAAACCAGTGAGAAATGTAATACAAAAAACTAATAACTGACTAAGTGTAAATACTGTACATCTGTAACAGACTCATATCAGTAAACAATAAATGGTCACTTATATTTAATTGTAGCATTTTATTTTTGAAAAATACAACGGTATACCTGCTGTAATTTGACTGAAATAGTACAAGTTTTAAAAGACTCATATCTTAATAATCAATTTAAGCGTATAAATAACAAACCTACAATCAATGACTCAAAACACCTTCATTAAAAGTTATTCATTAATAAAATGCACCAGAGACATGATTTAAATACGATAACTGGATTCCCTTCTATAACAACTTGCATACTGTAGCTTTTGTATTTTGCAAAAGCACAACTTGATCAAGTTGAGTTGATGTGGTCAGCTATTATTACTTCCCATAAACAATAGAGGACAAGGGAAGAACAAAGAACCGTAACAGACGTAAAGGCATCGCCTGTACAAGCCACTAGATGGCGCCCAAGTCTTTGAGTTGGACAGTGTAGCGTCTCGTTGCACTTGAATATAAAGGCGGCTGACACGACGATGTCACACGTTTTTTTCATTGGCAAATGGCCAGGTCAGAGATAGAGTCCATGTCAGGACTCTAGGCACATTTTACACAAATTACAAAGTCAATTTGAAAAATAATAAATAGAGATTAAAAAAATAAATAAAAAATACACCATTACCAATCATGATAAGTGGACAACACCAAAACGGGCAACTAAGCTTTTGTTTGAGTTAAATGTGTGTTGCCTTTGAGTCTTATGAAGACAGACAAACCAGTGAGGCAAATGTGGTATATATTTGCATATGAGATTCTAAATATTTTGGGTTTTTCCGATGCTACATTTGGTTAATGGCTTTACTCGATATGGCATCACAACAGGTAAAATGAATAAATGGTGTGCCCGGCAAGAAAAATACAAAACAAAGTAGTGAAGGCCACAGTTGAATGTAAGAGTCAGAAAGAGGTTAGTTCCACTGAAAGGCCTGAGCAGTTTCCTCTCAGTCGTCTGCTACAATGGACAGAGCTCGGAGCTCACTGAGTTTGGCCTCCGTCTCCTTCTCTCTCTGCTCATCCGTCAAACCCGCCTGATCTATCTGCTCCGTCAGGTCATTGAAAATGTTGTACATTTCAGTAAAATACGCCACCTGTGGGTCAAAAGAACATCAGGTTAAAGACGTCCTTTACCAAGCTTCAGACTGTGTCAAGACAACTCATTTCCTCTCAACCTCATCTGGCTCTACTTACAGGTCGGGAGCTGGTGGACTCTTCAACCTTCCTAACGAGAAGTAATTCAGGAATAGAACAAGACCGAAGGATATCAAACAATAGTGATAAACCCTCCAAACCCAGCATTTCTATGGGTAGTGACCCTGCTTTCCTCTTCCAGTCTGAACACAAGATCGCAAGTGTTCACTGAAAGCTTTCTTGACACTTCCCACCTCTGCTTCTTCCCCTTAGTTCATGAGTCAGGCTCCCCAGAGAGCCCCTTTGATGATTAATAGACTTTAATCACATTACAAGACTGCAGAAGAGTAGGCAGAGAAAGTACTGGGAAATACAACCCCGTGAAACCCACACAGCACAATTCAATATTTATTTATTCATCTGAGATTGTGAGTCTTGAGGGTCACCTGCAACATTATGTCTTTGTAACACCTACAATAGGGTGCTGCAATGCCATAAGATTGGGTCTATTTACACTGAAAATCAGAATACTACTATTTTATCTTATCCTGGGAAAATGCAATAGTGTCCGCTGGAACAAAAGCAAAGACTTTTGAGTTCTGCTTGAATGCTCTCTGTGTTTAGACCAATATTTGCCACGTAAACCACAAAAGTGGGGAGTTAAGTATTGGGTTACTACTGTTTGTGGGGGTAAAGCGGATATTTTTCCCTAAAAGTAGCTTGTTGACAGAGCCATCGGAAATGTCCCTATAAGCAGTGATGATAATATAGACCAGATCAGTGAGTGTCTGGGTGACCACCTCACCAAAGACATGCTGCTTTATAATTAGTCTGGACACCACCAGAGATAAACACTGCTCCCGGTGACCACCTACTCGCCAAGAGCCCATGGGCCAAACGGGGCTTTCATTTACACGACTACTGTCTGGCATTACAAACATTCAGTCTGAGCATGAATATTTACAGCAAGGGGCTGAACTGACTTTTGACCTCTCTGAACACTATATAATGAATAATTGAACAATGTATTTGTAAAGCCCTAACAGTTTTTTAAGATCTGTTTTGGAGCTTGTTCAAACCATTTAAACTGGGAAATGCTGTAGCTGCTAACATGTACAGGTGGACAGAGTGAGGACATCCATTTGTAGCCTGAATGGACAGGCCTAACAAAACAACAAAAGCAGCTCTGTACTCTGTCTGAGGCAATAGAGAAGGGAGTGGAGCATGGACACTGCACTGAGGTCCTCAGGCCTCCCACGTGTGCCTGTGTGTAAACATGTGTGCTCTCATTCATGAGCCTGATGCAGCAAGAGGCACAACTAAAGATGGACACAAGGGTAAAAAGTAAAACAGGCCTAGTCGGGGGTTTCTAGAGTATTTACTGTTGCCAGTTTAGACTGATTTATTAACTTTCAGTTCAAAGAACATCATATAATGTTATAATTGTCATTAGGTCTGTGATAATGTAATTGTATAATTAGGAGTGTGCCAGTGCTAATCCCAAAGAGGAAATGACAAGGCCTGGCAGAGTGCAGGGGGAGGGGGCACCATGGGACACCCAGCTGCTTTAGGGCCGCTCCTCTGTGTCGGGGCTGTGGAGCCAGAGACCAGGACTAAACACTGGAGTGGGCCGCACTAATAACATTAGGCCATTAGGCACAGTCAGCATCACCTATACCTTTATACATTCATTCAGCATTCATTTAGATTTAGAAATTATACTTTTGTGACAGCCCCTCACCTGTGCTCGGATAAGAGCCTCAAAGCTGGGCTGGAAGTAGTCAATCCGACTGTGGTAGAATTTGGGCATTTCATCCAACAGCTGCTTGTTTTTGGCCTCAAAATCTTCTCGAACGGGTCTGAGCTCCTCTCGGGCCTGCACGGGGGTTAAACATACACATAGGATTAGTGGACTCTACATGTTTGACACTTAAAAATGATTTTTAAAAGTTTGAAGCCATATTTGTGGCTCACTTTGAAATATTGTGCCTATTTCCCACAGAGAAGCAATGTAAAAAAGGCTGTAATCACGAGCAGAGTGAGGAGGAGTGGGTGATGTGGGCAGACTTGGCTGTGAGTGGACTCGGCACCAAGTGATCTGTGTGAATGTATTGGTGGGAAGCCTACTGTAGGCATGCAGTTATGGAATACACAATGAAAGTGTGAGAATTTCTTTTTATTACTGACAATGGACAAGAGGATGCTATATTGAAACACAGGTGAAGCACTACAACACAATTGGATTTCACGTTATATTCAAATAGGCTGAGCACAGGTGTCAAAGGGCCATGATGTAGGGCCTCTTTGGGCTTTGTTCCCCTGACAGAGCTTTCCTTGGAATGTGTGGGAGGCTCACCGTGTGAGGAAGAGTTAAAGGCAGTAGCTACACAGCAGTGCTGTTGGTAATGTGCACTTCTGAAGTGGCCTTGTGTGTCTCCATTTCTCTATTACACGGCTGTATATGCACCGCAGAGCCGCTTGAAAAGCACTACTTGAGAGCTGGTTGCTTGCGTGGGTGAGGGAGTGCACATGTACTGTATGCATGTGCTCAACTATTTTTGTTCATATCCAGTCAGCATTTGTGTCTCTTTCACCCATTGCACACGATACACGATTCACCATGAGCACCATGAGGGGAGGTGAAGAGGCTACACAGCTCATATTACACACTGTACCTGGTGCAGCTTGACCATGACGGGCCCAGTTTTCTCCTTGTCCTCATATTTCTCCACTTTGGCCTGGAGCCGTTTGTAGTCCTGCAGAGCCTGCTCCCGCCTCTTCACTGCCATATTCAGGCTTGGGAAAATGCCACTATACCTGCAATAACAAGTGCACACTAATGAATGCGCCATTTCAATAAATCTACTTAAGAAAAACTTCAGACTCACAAGAATAACTGTTTTAATGTGTCTGATTTAAGTGATTTTAATAAAAAATATTCCAAATGAACAAAACTGCTCTTTAGAACGTATTGACAGAGTATGCTCGAACCCCAGAGGACAGCTTTGCATTTATCTTTTTCTACTCCATTATCCAATTATTGTTGTTCAAAATGACACAGTACAATTTATTTTGTGACAATTATCATGTTCCTAATGAAAATATAGTCTTGCAATGAGAATCCTTGTCTTCAGCACTAAAAATAGGAAAACACTCATCTGTAACTTAGCAACAGGAGTCTAAGCTCCATCCTGGGACTTGTTGCGTTGATTTTGTGGCAGTTTTCTGTACAAAGAAGGAATGTTATAGGATAAGCTTTCAATGCAATTTTATGATCAAGTTATCAAGTAGAAATATCACATTAACACAATGTAGCCTTTTACTGGATTATTGGACAAACTGATAATAATGAACAGATTGGGCCTTTGGAGTCCAAACATTGCTGTTATTGATTTGTTTTTAAGTGTGCGAGTGGAGCACAGGTGTGACATGTGGCACTAACAGAAACACGAGTAGTGAAAGTGATCTCTTGAATGACTCATGTAAAGCTTTTCATCATCTGTGTAGGCATAACATCATTCACGCAATGTGTGGGCTACATCATTTACCTTTCTCTGTATGCCAGCCTCTGCCCTGCAGTGCTGGTATTAAAGTATGAATTTTAATTGTACTTTGAGTAAGAAAAGTATTTTACTACTATTAAAGGTCAAATGCAGTGATCTAGATAAATTGTAGCAAATGAATATCTTTTTAAGTATACATTTTTGTTTGCTCAAAGCTTGAACAAGCTAAAAAACACAAAGTCCATGTAAAAAATTTATTGGAGTAAAAGGTACAGGTACCTGCAATTAGATGAAGTAAAAATTAAACTTAAGTAAAATACATGTATCTAAAAATTTTACTTTCACTTCTGTTCTTTTCCATCACTGCTGTCCTGCCATGTGCAGGATACTAGTTAGCCTCCATAACCTGTGGACTGAATTCCTCGAGTGTGGCTACCAATGCACTGCAGTTTTGGCAGAGGCCCAAAGTGACGTGCACTGAGGCTCAGACCCAGACAAGCAGGAATTGTTTTCAACAGGAAGTTAGGCAAGGAGTGGTTTTGTAGTAGAGTGACATCACAGAGCCCAACCCCACGGCCCACGCGCTACCGCTATTTATAAAACACCTCTTTAGCCCAGTTACGGCAGGGGTGGATGCCCAAGTCTACTATCTGCTCCAGTGTAAACATACTTCAAGTGCCAAAGGATTATGCAATAGCCCTCTAGGCCTCCAGGCATGACTGGTCTGCGCTGTGATGGGCCACACTCACTCCAGCGACCTGAGTGACAAGATGGCTCAGGGCCTTTCACAGACCGTGCTCTTCACAGGAGAGCTTCACCTGAAGCACCATGGCAATGTCCTGGGTCTGGACTTTAGCAGTAGTCAAGACTAAGCTGACAGTGAACAGCTTTAAGCTCCTCACATTCACTCTGCTGTTTTCAGGACAGTCCTCCAGCTCATGGACACACACATTTTACCTATGCCTTTAAGAGCTCAGAGCACATAACTTCCGTTTCTTGTTGGGACAGTCTGTCAGGTTGGGTCTGCACTTGTGGCCAGTCCTGTCTGGATGTGGTTTGGAGGGTTGCGCAGGGGCCACGCTTGCTTCTGACCGGTCGCTATAGTGAGAAGACAGGATAGAAATAGCATCTGGACCAAAGAGTTTGTTTATGAGCAGCTGCCAGTCCACAGACTGGCCAGTCTCAGCTGACAGCCAAGTCTGCTCACAACTCCCCCAGTCTTGTAATGTGTACTGCCCCTGACATAATGCACTGTGGAGCAAAGTCAACACTATAATAGTTAAAATGCCCATTGATATATCAGAACTCTTCAGAGAACATGTGACTTACATGCTTAGGGAAAGGCTACAGAAACCTGAGAGAAGGTCTGATCTGTCCCAGCATGTCTTTTTGTCATGACAACAGATCAACATGATTACACTGTATATTTATTTATAATGACTAATAATAATAAATTTTGATACTTGGGTGCACATATCACTGCCTGTCCCAGTAAAGGTGAGAGTAAACTAAAATGAACAGTGGCTGGTTTCAGTGATTAGAGACCCCCACCCTGTCTTGACCAAACAGGCTTGACTTCTATCTGGCTCAGAAGAGTAACAAAGCAGAGCGCAGTGGGTTAGGAGGCCCAGATAACACAAATGCCTCAAACCCACGCAGTCCCCTCCCCGCACATAAACACTGCCATGTCACTCCAGGGCCCCGCTGAGTGGAGGAGACTCACATTTGGGCCTGAGAGACAAAGAACAAATGTGGGGAGGTAGGGGCTGCAGCCTCTTTTAGTTTATTTATGTACACTGGCACACACAAGTAGAGACACAGAATGCCACATACAGACCACCAGGCCATTCAAGCTCTTCCATTAACATTAATTGTCTCCTTTTTAGCTTTTCTCCTCTTCACTGTGACACAGGATCACCAACAGGTTTCGGGTAAACAATAAGGAATCTTCATTAGAGAGAGACTAATGGAATCTTAATGGATGCTCAAAGTAAAGTCTTTGTCTTACTTTTCCAAAGCGACTCTTTGATAAACAAATGCAGTGTGTTTTTAAGGGGAAAGTTAAGTGGTCAGGGCTAGTTGTCTCCAAGTATGTTATGGACTTCCTTTTCTATTAAAACTTATATAAATCCCAACTTTGTCATCTAAAGTGGCCCTGTGTTTGTGTCCATGCGTGCACAGACAGCTCTTAGCCAATCCACGGCTCTGAGCTCAAAAGAGCTGGGCCCTTTGCCATATTGTGAGTCTGCCTACACGTCCGCCTGCCGCCCACCAGGAAGAGGAAATTAGAACCATTCCATTCTTTTAAAATCTCTTGACAGCAGAATTCACACAAAAGATGAAAGGGTTAACTCTCATTCATATGGTCAGATATTTGCTATAAATTCAACTCATTCCAAAATTACCAGAAAAAGTCTAAAATTTAAGTTGAATAATAAGTGATAAAAACAGCTGGATTTTAGAAGTATGCTTTTTTGTGCTGGGAGGAGTCTGCAGGAGGAAGAAAACCTTAACTAGTGCTCCGGAAGTTGAGTGGGACAGTCCAGCCACTCCCATCAGCCCCTGCAGCTTTGCATGTTTGTGTGTGTCTTTGCGTTGTGTGTTTGTGGAGTAGCTTTTAGGAATGAAGAGCTCTCACTGTTTGAACGGGGCTGAGTATTAGGAAAGAAAACCAAATAACTGTTCCACCAGACATGCCACATCCACAGCAATATGACTATTTCAGTCTCATTATTACTGCATAGATCATCACACTGACTGGCCAAAATAAAACAGATAATAACACGAAGTTTGACCACGTTTAAATTTGAAAAGCTTGCAGAATGCCAACACTGTGACTTCTGTCCATTGTACAAATTGGGCCATCTTTGTCAGCACATCCTACGAGTGGGTGATACTGACAAAATATATTATTAATAATAAAATCAGACACAAACGTGCAATTAGTAAAATAAGGTTTCTGTTCTTTTCAATAAGCTCTTTTTGCAACCATTTTAGATTTATTTTTAGTCTGGTGGATCCAAGTCTTTGCACCTTGGAATAAGTCCATGCCAGAGGAAAAAAATGCTTAAGTATGGCAGTATAACCTGCTCATTCACTAAGCTAAGGTAGTCATGCAGTAATTATTTACGAAATTACACCCAAGTTTGCTTAAGTAATGCATTTTATGTGGCCATCATCCGCACAGTAAAACAAAGCTGACTGAACAGCTAAACAAAATGGAGGTATACTCAATCATTATGAGCACTGTCTAAACACTCACAAAATTAGCGTGATTAGAAAAAGACTTACTTCTTTAAAGGATCAATCACAGTCTTCTGTATCTGGTTGACCTGCAACAGTTAACAGAAAAATAAGGACATCTAAAGAAAGAGAAGTTTGATCAGATATTAATATTCATTGTCAAAATGTGTTACATCAAAACAGGAGTTAAACTAGCTTCTACATCTCTGGCTCATTAGCAAACAAATACTGGAGCACAAACAATAGTGTAATTTTCAAAATGAGCACTCAAGAAAATAGTGGGACCGGAGGGGAGAGGGGGGATTGTAAAGAAACTTTTGTGACGTTGACTCTTATTATACACAAACCCTGAGGAGGAAAAGCTGAATATTCATAGAGCTTGAAATACAAAAGAATTGAACTGTCAAGGGACAAACATGAAAGTAAAACCCATCTGATTTCAAATCCTGTCAAGGGTGGGCTGTCTTGCAAGATGAAACTTTTTACAAACAAACATTTAACAATAAGAGTTCACATTTTTATCATTCTGCGTTCAGTTAGCAGAGCTGACAGTGGAAGTTGGGAGGAGGTAAAGAGGAAAAGAAGAGCTCATCCGAAAGCCTAAAGCATGGGCTCCAAGTCTCTGACAGAAGTTCAAACTAAATTAACAAAGTTTCAAAGATCATTTACATTGCAGATTTAAAATGAGTTTGAAATGTCTGAGCAAAGCAGTGCTAAGCTAGTGCATTACAAAAAGGAGAATGTGAAGCGTAGAGATTGAACAGACAGCTGCATGAGAACAGCTCTGCTAATCATATGTTCAGTAGCTATTGGAAGGACAGTCAATCACACATGAAGAAGCAAACAAGATCGCAGCTGTGCTTTGTGAAAATGCCCCGACCATCTACAAGAACATGCTGCAGCGCTCACTGCTTCACACAGGCGGACTTCCAAGTACAAAATGGTTGATTGTGGTTTGAGGGAAAACACAGCACCAATAACAATAAGTACATGGGAATTCACATCCTTTGCTTTACATATTCACACCAGCCGCTCCAGCCCCCCTCTCCCTCTCCTCCACCCCCTCTCTGGCTTGAGCGGCGCTTGTGAGGTGAGAGCATGCGGCGAGGAGGGAGAACAACAGCAGCAGATTTGCTTAAGCATGCTGGTGCCCTCTACCCTCTGCCCCTTCCCACAGAGAGGGGGGGCAGCTCTGCTCCGCTGGGGCCCGCAGAGCCTGAGGCCGGCGCTCCAGCACCAGTCTCCATCAGTGAGTCACGGGGCAGAGGCCATCCCGGCACACAGGCCTCCCAAAAATACACACAGATCGCAGAGGAAATCAATACACCTCCAAACGGAGCATCCTCTGCCGTGCTGGCGCCATCTTCACTGGGGCTCTGCTTCAGCAGCAGTGCGCCGCCGGGGCTGTGCGCCCTCCTCAGCCCCACAAATAAACACACAGACCCGGGCCACTGCTGCCTTCATTATCGCTGCACGTTTTATCTGCTGGCTCTCTCACTCACAAGGCCTGCGGCGCAAATGCTCAGCTCAGCATAGAAAAGAGCAAAGGCTGGATGCTTTTGTGTCTGTTTTACTAAAGCAATAAGCTTTAGAGCTAGTGCCGTCAGAATCAACAGTTAGCTTAGGGTTGAAGAAGGAGAGATGTAGTGCTGGTTTGTACACACCTAGCAAACCTGAGGTGATATTCCAGAGAACTAGGTAAAAATGAACTAAATCACTACTTTGCCCTAAGCGTACAGTGAGGACAAACACACAGGCAGTTTTAGCTGGAGCTTTTTAAAGACCGAAAACAGAAGAAGCAACGAAAATCAGGTGTGACCTGCCTGTCAAAATCAACTCTGGATCAAAGCAGTGAGTGGCTGATACAAACTGAGGACTCTAGTGCTCCACAGGTGAAAATGGTACAAGAACAAAGTGTCTCGCTCATTCACTGTCAAATACACCATCACAGAGCCAACAGGAAGACCCACTGTGGAGCCAACTACAGGCACAAGAAGATAAATCTGAAAAAGTCAGGAAAAATGATAAATGCCAAGTAAGTGAGAGGCCATTGTACTTAATGAGAGGCGACAGATGGAGTGAAACCAAATAGATACTCTACAAAATGTAAAGAATGTGAATGTGTCTCTCTTGAAAACCATGGAGCTGGCAGAGGCACACTGCTGGGCATCTGACCAAGTCCTTAGCACAGGCCCGGGGTCAAAACCCACAGCCCAGCCCGCAGTCGACTCTGTCTAGTCACTCCGAAATGCCCCTGTAACGAGCTGAGGGCCAATTGCAGAACGAAAATCTATTACCATAGCAATTTCAACTTTTCAAATAAAAATTCAACTATTAAATGAGTTTGAGGCTATGTTTACAATTTGCATAATGTATTAATAATAAGTCATTGCTTAAGATTATGCAGGACCAGTAAAAATGTGTTGTTAAGGGGAAAAACAAGGTATAAAACAAATGGTCAAGGAAAGAGGAATATTTAAAGTGTAAATGTAAAAACAGAAGAGATAACAGCAGAGCAATGAGTCAAGACAACACAGATGGATGAGAGGGAGCAGTCTGAGGAGGAGCCTACCCTTGACATGGTAGTGCCTGAAGGAGCCACACATACGGTGCCACTATGATTCACAGCACTACCTGTGGCAAAGACTCTCCTCCAAACAAAAGCACACCCAGGAAACAGTACCAGGCGGCTTGACAAGCAAACAAGAGCTTTTGGAGAACACAAACGCCCATATATGGAACTGGAGAAATGAGCTTCAAGTCATGGAAAGAAACACGTTTTTAGAGCAACATTTTCTTCAAGGGCAGAAGCAAGAGTGGAGCACACCAAGATAAAACTTTGAACTAGCTATGGGAATGAAAAATAAACATGTATCTTGGTTGCTTTTAGAAATACATTAACTTAAAAGGTATACTGTAACTCTTCTGGCAGAGGGTCCACCACAAGCTTGTCTCCATGGCGATTTATTGAAATGTTCCACCGCATGCCGTTAAACTGATCATTCTTGCATTTATCCAATTTGAGTTTTTGGTTGCTAAATTAATACCATGCCCAAATCACAATATATCACATTATGCCTTGAATGTTGCAGTTACATCCTTGTGCATCAAGGGGGGCATATTTTAACGGTGGAGTTTTGGCCAGTAACAGTGAGTCACAAAAGCATCCATTTTCACAGCTGATAACCAGTAGTCTGAGCTTATAGTGGATGATGCCGCAGATGTACAGCAGAAGGAAAGACATACGGACAGCTTTTACTCCACAGTCTGTGCAATACTGACAATTCAAGAACATGCTTTCTCAACTAAAGCCTCTTGTTGTACATTTCGAGACATTTCCCCAGATACCAGTGTTGAAACAAACACATAGCAAAAGGACAAGTTAAAAATGGAATGATTTATACCTTTTCCTGGTTGAAAGCATCCATTCTTTTCATGGCTGTGTCCAGTGCAGTCATGGACTCTAGAAAAGCCTGGTCTTGTTCACACAGAGGGTTACTGAGCAGGTCTGTGGAGATCTTTACTGCTGCTTTGGACATGGCTGCAAAATTAACACATAAATGAGCACTTAAGGCCTTCTTGATAAATAAATCAATGTGGAGTGTAGAAAATGATGACACAAAAGACAGAGATGAAGATTCACCAGAGCACCAAAATGCTCCACTGACAGCACAAATTACAGTTAATCTGTTCTTTGACACATTGTTGAGACAGCTACCCTGTATCAGCCTCTCCATCATAATGAATGAGCTGCATGTATCAGACACACCATCGCATTACAGGCTCTAGTGAAAATGGGCTTTGCTAAAGAACAGAATATCATCAGTTTCTAAATGTGAAATCTGAAAAAAAGGGAAAAAAAAAATAAAAAATTCCATTTTAATTATGTGTAGTTGTCATTGACGTTTAGCACGTTCAAATATGATCATTTCAACAACTCTTGGTTTACAGGTTTAACTTAGTATGATCATATAATGGCTGATTTTTGAAAGTGTCTGTATATGATATCTTCTATCTGCTATGTTGTGAATCTGGTATACAGTCTGAATCTGAGATTTAGTTAACTTTCTGTCTAATTGCAGGATAGGGTCAAAGATACCAACAACAGCCACAAAGGGTCAGCAAATTGTAAATTCTAGACGCGTTTACTTCCAATTACAACTTCTGGCTCAATGAACGATGCATTTAACCCTAAAAGACACAAAGACACCTTACTTGAGTTTTAACCAATATGAGCAAAGGCCAATCATTCTCCTTATCCCTTGAGTGTTTAATCAGTTCAAGTGTAATAAAAGTCCATACACATTTGGGGTCATTTGTAGACACAAAACCTGAGCAGCAGATGAACTGTGTTAGAATAATGAGGGCTGACAGCACAGACACTTGTGGTGATGCAGACATTGGAGAGCACCGGGCAGAGGAAATGAAGAAGGCCCTGACTCCATCCTGGCTCCTCCGCCCCCACACCTCAGCATCCACCACAGGCCATGTCTACGGAGACTTCCAAATACACAACTCCAAAACCAAGTAAGCACGTGGAGGTAAACATGGTTTCTGTGGCCGACAATTGAATCAAACAATACAAATGTGCATATAAATCCCATTTTGGCCACTAAGTATATATGCATTTCTCAAATGCTACTGGAGGCATAGTAAGGCTTACAGTTTCACACCTAATTTATTTGAAAATGTAGAGCACCAATTTTGTGAAAACTTGCCCAAAAAAAGTTTTACTGGCGAAGGGATCAATGGCACATCCATAGCTGTGATGCATATTGTCGGCAGAACATACCCAAATCAGCCTCTGTGCTTTTCTTCATGTCCTTGTGAAGTTTTTTTGTCTGATCTTCCAATCTGTGGGACAAAAAAGAAATGATCACGATTCTTCTGTGAAACAAAACCATCACAAAAATTGACAGCAAAAGCAAAGCTGTAACAACATGTCATATGGTGAGAAATAAGCATTACAACTCTACATAGAACAGGCTGCATTTCAGTTCCTAATTCATAACCTAGTTGACTGACAGAAAAAAAACTACATAAAAAGTCATTAAAGAAATAAAATATCTCTAAAAATGAGAATTACACATATGACTGACTCCACATAAAACGTTATTACAACAACCTTTACCTAATTAACAAAACCGAGAATACTTGTTCCTGTCACAACATTTGCACTCAAAAGCATTAATGTCTTCCGTCGTTTCACTGCGCATATTCCATTGATGGGTGTTAAAAAAACAGCAATTACCAGTCTGGAGGCAGAAAACACATGCCATTCATTATATCAATTAAGGCAGATGAGGGGTTTAGAGCATCCCCCGAGACCGCCACAGCGCGTCATCTCACCCATGCTCATTTGACAGAGAAGTGGAAAACCGGTTTATTTCCAGCTTTGCTTTAAGGGACTTCATCATCTGCACATACAACTGTTGTATTAAGTGAATGTGTTTGGAAATGTCTAAGAGCATTCTTTCATTTCATGCTTGTACTGTTTATTTGTTTTGAGTACTTTCTGATCCCGGTTTTCATTCATTGCATCTTTTGTTTTTCTTGTCCGTCTTTAATAGTTTCAGACCAAATCGGCACAGTCCAGATGGATGGTTGTTCCAAAAATGTCACTCACACAAAATGATGTAACTTTATCTCTTATTGTTTGCACTGAATTCAAGAGGATCTGTCAGAACAATCTTCACAGTAACTTTTGTGTTTTTACAGTAAGAATATATCATGGGGCGTACTAATTCACATTTTAGAGTTCATTTATTGACTACTTTTTAAATGCAAGACACATTAGTGGTACACCACTGAGATTTCTGGTGCTAATGAAACTTTCCTCCACAACCTAAATCATGATATTTTGCTACTGGCTGGAGTCTTTCCTGGCCACAGTGGGCCTTAGCAGAAAAGGTCCCATTACTTTAGCTGCAAGATGAATTATTCACACTCAGATTCACAAAAATTTAAGAGAGCTTAAAGCCCCTCATTTTTTACATGAATGAATACGTTATACATCCTATGACAGAAAGGGACAGTAATTTTAAGTTAATTGTAAATGTCAGAATGAGGAAAAATAGATGGCTGGATAGTTGGAAACCGCCTCTCATATAAACACATAAACATGTAGGTTTACAATGAGTTTCTATCCTGCTTGTCTGTGCATGTCAGAGTAGAGCGGCAGATAAAGAGTCTCCTACTTGAAAATGAGCAGCGCAGAGCTCTCCTCCTGTGGTCAGGTGAGAAGGTCTAAGAGCTCGCTCCTAAAAGGTGCTAATAGAGCTCAGGGGGACCAGCTGCTGCCCCCTGCCCCAGTGCAGCCACACTCAGATCCACATGATCACTTATTGACAACTATGCCAGGCTTCAAGTTCATCCTAATTTTGCGTTTCTATGGAAGGTGATGTTTTGTCTCACTTCTTCTGCTTATATGTGTATTTCTGCTTATATGTGTATTTCAGAAGATATGTTTGGTGAAAACAGAACTTGATTTAAATTTCAAGGAACAAAATATAACCATTGACTAATAATAGAACTTCAATCTATAGCTTTGATCAGAAGAAACAGGTTGTGCAATGCAGTTGTGGACAGCTCTAAGAACAAAAGATGTTGTGGGCAATACAAGCCCTCAGAGGCTCCGATATGGATCTCTCGGGTGTGGACTGTCAGTGCCTGTACATGCCTGTTGCCGTGACGCAGCTATAAGGTCTATTGGCACCACACCTTTTCGATAAAGGGCCCTCCTACTCAAAACGACCTGAGAGTAGAATGTGCTCCCACTCATTCTGTGATGTGCTCAGGGACTTCCTCTGACCTCAGCCACACGGCGAGCGAAGGCAGATACTCAGTGTTTTCTTGACTCACACATTATTTAGGAAATCCGCTAGAGAATCAAATTTAATATGAAACACTAAAATAGAACAAGATTGGGGGAACATTTTAAGGTGGAGATTTCTTTAGTTAAAAACTACAGCAGTGTTATCCCTGATAAGGCATTCAGTATTCCGACTTGCCACCCTGAGAAAATGAACTAACACTTACTTACACACTAAATACTTACTTTTGTAGTTTTTCATATTCTCGTTCAAAGTCTCTCTCATCCTATAAAACAAACATAAAGAACATGAAAATATTAAAGTACCATGAAACCCTTTGTCATATGAATGTGTGTCTCCTTATGGCTCTTGTAAACACAGGGTACCACAGGGCATTTGTCCCTGGGCTTATTACAGCTTGTCGTGGCCTGTCAGGTTACAGGGGCAGAGGACTTCCTGTCCTGTGGTTCTGTGGGCTCCTATGTTTAAACAGAGACCAGAACCACCATGGAGGCAGCACACACTCTGTCACTGTGGACTATGGTCTCACTGTAACCCACTCCATGGTCTGGGCTTTGGGGGGCACAGGAAGCTGGCAAAGCAGTTCTACTGTGTCAGACCAGAGCCATTACAGGGGAAGTGGTTTTCTCAAGGGAGAACACCCACTTACTGTCACTGAAGGTAATGAGCGCTGCCCCTTCCACAGCTCTGACAGAGAAGTGACCACCAGATCAAACACAGACCCCCTGTCACACTGTGCACTACTACAGTGAGAGACTTACCGTTTTAGAGACCACTTGCTTCTTTGGCTGGCCAATCTTGAACGGAATCCTAAAATGACAAAATAACAAATAATTTACTATTAATTGTACAGTTTTTTTGTTGTTGACCAGAACTGAACAGACATCAGGTTAAGAACGTATACAGTATGTCATCACAAAGCACATCTGGCTTCTATTGCACCCAAAGACCTTTAAACAATGGGATTGGCCCAAATGGAGTTTGTGCATCCTTTGAGTGAACAGAGACAAAGCCAATTAAAAACAACATAGGATGTTGGGGATTAGACAAAAATCAAGACTTGTGCAGTCTTCACAAACACAAAACTCATAGCACAGAATTTACTCCAGTGTTTCCTTAGACTTAGACAAAGTGTACTGATCCACAAGGGAAATTCTTTGTTCACACATCACAATAAGAACAAAAAACCAAATATAAATGGTTCCCATAGATTTTGTTAAGATTATAGTGGCACACATTATTGGTACTTGAATATAATCATATCATTATATAGTCATATAATTCAGTTTGTGGAGCATTAATGTCACTGCCTAGATTTAATTTGATAATATAATGAGCAAAAATGTCTAATTTTGTTGTGCCAATATATAGCCTCCTGTATTAATGGAAAACATTGCTTACTCTTTTTATCACCATTTCAAAATGCAGTAACGGAACACAAGCAGCACTTGGAGCTGTGCATGGCTGCAGGTTGTCACTGATGTGGTACTAACAGCCTGAATGAGAGCTGCTGCTCTATGATGGACAGTGGTGCTGTCAGGCAGGTGAGGCAGCAGCTGTGTCAAACTAAAGGTGTGTAAACTAATGAGGTGCAGATGAGAGGGTGTGATGTGGGCCTCACCATGGAGCTCCACAACATCTCTGATAACAGCTCCAGTCAAACACAACATGTCCAATAGGACTTCTCAGGTACTCTCTTTGAAAAGCAGCTCTCTTATCTACACGCTTTATCACAGGAGATACAGAGACACACACACAGTGCTTTGTGCCTTGCCATATTATATTTCAGTTAAAATAAAGTTAGTTTGGATGTCAAGACCATTTGGTTAATGGATAATTGTGATTAAACATGTATCAATATAATCAAAGGAAGAACAAAACAACAATAAGCTGTCACAATTTTACAATAAAAAAATGTCATTTCAGTTTAAACATGAACATGCAGTCTGTTTATGGAATGTAATAGATAAGGTGTATTGAAGATTTCACTGTTGTCTGTCATGGTATCAAAAATCATGAATAATTGTAAAATTGTGAATCCTTGTCCATAAATTTGATATTGTGACATCGACTTTGAACGTAATAAGTGTTTCATAACTAGATGCAGTTTCTCTCATTGTGTCATTATTTGGGTGAGCCACTGTGGAAAATAACCAGGAAAATTCGTCAGGAATGACTCACTTGTCTCTGATTACCTGATCACTGAGTGATGTCACATTAGCTTAGATTGTAAACATGTCAAAGTGGAAGGCCAAGGTTTTGAGCCTGTTTAGTGACTGCTTCTTTCACATCTAAAATAGAGGACAGTTACATACCAACTGAAAAACTACTATACATGTCCAATACATAAAAATAAGGATGGCACCAGTGACTGGATAAAAAATATTGTTACAAAAGCCATATCAGTCCTTCATTTGAAACAATGTGTGGATAAACAGCCAAAGTGAGTAGTGCTTCTGGCAAATGCACAGAGAAGACAGTGCGTTTGGGAGAGGGACTAGAGCAGGACAACAGAGGGACGAGGAGGATGGGAGCCGCTCACACAATCACACAGAAATATTTCTGTGGGAGCTTTTAGAAATGCTAGAAGTCAGGCCCAGAGAACATAAAACAGCAATCCTCCAACTAACTTGGAAAAATAACTAAGCTCTTCAATAAATATCCCATTAATAAGTGAGCAGATTTCTACTAGGGATACAACATTTACAACAACAGTTTGAAAGGCTCTTGTATTAATTCTGTATTAGTTCAGAACTTTAGATCTATACAGTTATGCTGAAATGGATGTGATTCTTTTATATTTCCATCCTCTCCCAAACAGCAATAATTTCAGTTGCTATTGGCTCTGGGCACAACAGCACTCCATCTAGTTGTGGTCAGTAACAGTCCTATGGACCTCACTTCCGCCCCCATTATATCCCTGAGGGATTTTCACTGAGTTCAAATTTCTACTGTTGAACTATCCCAATTCACAAAAATCTATTTCATTGGTTGATTTATCTAATTTGGTTAATGGCTATAATATCTATGAAGTCTAAAATGTTGGTTGTACAAACCGTTTCACTTAGCTGTAGTTTTCCAACATTAACAATACTAAGAGTAACATGCTCTCTGTACTATATGAAGTGCACATGGACAGAAGACCAAGTGATTTAGTGTGCACTGCGCAGCCATGGTTAGGAGTTATTAGCCTATTTTAATTGATACATAAAAGTGCTGTGTTCCACATTGGCTGTCATTATGAAGATCTTGGCTAGCATGCATTTACAGAGTTATCTGATCTTTGCTGTAATAGGCTACACGTCACTACAACCCAGTAAGCACGTAGGCATGAACAAAGACATAACAGTTCCTCTATCTGGGACACATTATGCAGCCAGTGAAAGAACCAATGGCTTTTCACAGAAAGTTTGGAGCGTTCACCATTAGAGGGGCAGTGCATCACACGACCTTGGGTCCTCCGTGAAGCACAGAAGACTGGTTGAAGATGTTGGGAAGTAGGATTGTTCTGCTGATGACCCCAAAGTCAAAGCCCTCACGTCAGAAAAGCAAGTGCCCAAATCCTAGTGGAATGCACCAGTCAGCACAGGCCATAAAGAGCTTCTTTCACTGGTGCTACACCCCACTCTTGACCTTGTGTTTGGCAGTGCGTGCCGGTCCGGGCACCAACTGCCAGCTATTGACTGACTGAAGTGAGCGGCACTGCCGGGATCCTTAATGCACTCAGTCAATATGACGCTGAGAATATGACGCACAGGATAAAGCCCATCACATAAAGATGCTCTGACTGAATAAGAATTAGCTTCACTTCATACTTTGAACCAAATATTACAAGTAATCAGTCAATTATTATTGCAAATTATGAACTGCATTATGAACTGCAGTGAATGATGCAGCCTTTACAATTATTTTAAGATGCAACTAAGTATGAGAGACAGTCATCTCTTTGTCAAGATCTGCGATAAACACTGAGCTCTCCAGGACCAGCCCAACATTTCGACCTGAAGCACACTGGCCACCAGCAAAACATGGCTTCACAGTAATAAGGCAGACTTGGCACACTTGACGTGTTCTTCTTGTGTTGTACGCATTCACGCTCAGCAGAGCCAGTGAGTCACTGCAATATTGTAGAAATGATAGTTTCTTCTTAACTTTTAATGGTTAATTATGATAGTTGTCAACAGTAGCCTGCGCTGTTGCGTAGATCTTGACCACAAACAACTTTGTAGTTGTAGCCTAAACTCTGAAAAGCATTTAAGAGTACAAATGACACTTTTCTGAATCGTTGCTACTTCAAAATAATGAACTAACAATGTATAAAGGGCACTGATAAATGTATTCATCATCCTTTTAGGTGACATGAAGGTAGCTTGGTTAATAAGCTAGCTGTTAGCATATGTTAGCAACACGGCCGCTGATGTTACCAAGAAATAGCCAAAGTTAACCAAGATTACTCTTCCATTTTTACAATAATGGTCTGAACACGGTATAAACAAAGAGAATAAAATACATACCAGCTCATTTTGAATAAATCTTAGTCGCAGTTTCATAGAGTAGTTTTAATCCTCCGAGGACTTCATTCCCTCTGTAGTCACAGCCGACCATGAACAGGAAGTCAGGGGCTTACGGGAGAGCGCTTCCTTCGGGGAAATTTGACCCAACTGTAAAACTGAAAAACTATTATTTCATGAAGATAAACCTTTTAGGTGTTCTACTGCCATTTTTATCCATGTATATAGATATCTTAAACGACCAAAAAACAAGAGATAACCTTTATTCAAGTACTAACATAGAAATAACAATTGCAATACAACAAATTGAATTGCCAAGTACAAGGGAGCAGATCTCCCCATCACAATGTTATAATAAAATTCATTTCAATATTCAGCTTGTCGTAAAGGACCTTATTATAAGGTAATAAAACATGAAATAGCTCAAGACATCTACAACATTTTAACAAGACTAAGTGTAAGGGGAAAAAAAAAGAAAAATAAATAAATCACCCAGTGTGAGTATTGTTCATGTTGTATTTCTTCAGATCAGATGTAATTTCTATCTTCATGCATAATAAAGAACATGCACTACCCATATGTCTAAAGGTAGCACCATGAAACATTGCCGTGCACATGCAAACATGAGGATATACGGTGATGAAAAGGATAGAAACACAGCAAAAACAGACTATCCATTTCTGCAAAGACAACAGGTCCCTGAAGCCACCCTTCAGACTGTAGGATGACACGAATGCTGTGAGATCTCCACAAAAATATGATAACATTTTCTTAAACCGAATGTTGAACTGGCGTTATTGGGGTACATGTATATTGCCTTGCCCAAGGCCAAGAACACTGAATCAAACAGTTAGACAAACATTAGCAGAAGTGTGCTCTCAGCAGCGAGCAGACAGAGGTCACATTTCTGATTTGTTGCTGCTCTGGAGGTCTCCTCATCACATATTGTTTTTGATCGGCCAACCCTGCAACCCAGTTTGGCATAAAGATGGCTGCTCATATTGGCTATGAGCCAAGACTGAACAGAACAAGGATGAATTCCAATTTCAGAGTTTTCAGCCACCCACTGTGGACAATACATACAAACCTATTATTCACAGGAAATAATACTGTTATTATATAAGGTGATCTGACATTGCCGTAAATACATCTTTATGCAATACTCAGGCATTTATGTTACACGCTTATGGCTAACTCTTTCACACAAGATTCAATAATAATGAACTGAAATTCAATGTAAAAACAAACAAACAAACAAAACAAAAAACATGACAAAACAAAAGTGACCTCAGTCAGAGACTATGAGTGATGGCATTTTGAGTTAGAGAGGTTGTAATTATATGGCTTGATTTAGACATGGAAATAGTCTGGTAGTCTGTGCCTTCTTTAACACAAAGAACATAAACATAGTTTTCTGTCAGAGAAACCACACTCAATAAACTATAATTAAAAACATCCATTCTCACCAGCAAGTATCACACACATCAAGTGCAAAACATTTGGTCAAATAAATTCTCAACATTGCCGTATATGTCCATTGTATTTAAAGTCAATTTAACACAACAGATGTACATTTGTTATATGCATTTATTCTTTACTCACTGATGCTACAGTTTACTACTTCCTTTTTCTTTTTTTTCTTTTTATCAACTTAAAATGTAAAACAAATATAACATGAAATATACATTAATATTAAGTAGTGGATGTTGTGAGGATTTTGGAAATATGAATAAAAGTAGTGTAGCTGTTTATTAATGTACAAAATATAATCCCACATGTTGGTTTGCTAAAATGATCAGTATGCAGACCTTTCACCTACTGCTGAATTACAAGTATATCTTTTATACAGTCTCTAAGGTCAAATAAATAACAATCGTTGCAAAAAGCAGCAATAAGGCAAAGGCTGCTTTGGGTCCTCAATATTTTCAGTAGGTAATTTCCCCATGTGCTGACCACTGCCATAATTGTAGCTATTTTAAATTCCATTATTGTTTTATTACAGCTGCAACATTAAAGTAACTTGTGTATAAATCCTTGGGCTATATCAAGGCTACTGCATTGCATTTTTACGTATTTTTAATACTTTATTTTGTATATATCTATAAGTCTTATTGTTTTAATGCAGTACAATGCAGATATTTAAATGTTTTCTATTTTTGTTGCCTTTATGTGTTAATTGGGAGAAAATATAAATCATCTTATTCCCTAGAAAAATGAATGAAAGCACAAATGAATGTTATGAACACTAAAAGAAGTACAAGTGGAACACGGTGGTTTTCCCTGCAACATGTTTTACTCACAGACATGAAGGAACAGTGGGGAGACAATGGGCATATGAAATGACAAAATGCAAAATATTAATTGAAATGGAGAAACACAAACCAGTAAAAAAAAAAAAAAAAAAAGTGATTGGAAAAAAAAAAAAGACTGAAAATACACGGCATTAGGGTGTCCCCAAACTATTTAAAGCATACACATGCAATTGCTGTTTTTGAGGGTAGAAAATACATTTATGGTACCATTGGATTGCTATAAAATGCATGTATGACCTATAACAGCTTAGTAACTAAAAGCCTTTGTGTATAATCATTCAGTCATATGAAAGTTTGTTTTTGCAGACCACTGTATTTACACATATATGCACAATTACTGCTCAGGTGCCATTAACATTTGACATTGAGTGCAACTTCAACTGTAGTACATAAATTATTAAATTATAAATCATCAATTGAAATAATTTTATGTAAACAAGTTTTTTTTATTTTGGTAAACTAAAGTATGTGTTTACTGTTTTTTATAAATAGTCATACCTGAAGTATCATGTATTCCCCTTTTCATTCAATCTCACAAATAGCTTGTTTGAACATATAACCGGTGCCATGATATAAGGACTTCAGTCTGACTGACTGCATTATCGGATCTTGTATAATTTATGCTGTGTTATGAATATATTGCATATTATACAGTATATGGAAGATATCAGGAAATCATATCAGACTTGAACTATTTTACTTGAAGTCAAATAAAAAGAGAGTTTATGAAAACAAAATGATAAATGTGTTTGTATGTCCTCCACAGAAATGTGACCCATTCATTCTACATCAAGTTATAATTCTAATCGGTGGTATCACTGACTTTGAGACACAAGTCTACCAGGTGTAATAATTGGCTGAATTACCACAATATTCTTGGCACATTCTTTGAGAAAAAACATTCAGAAATACACCACACTTTAACCAAAACAAAGAGACAGTCAAGTGCCACTAAAAGGTTCAACAACAGTACACAAATATAAACAATTGCACTTTTTAACAGCCTAAATAAATTAATGCATGATACATCCCAGACAACTCAACGGTGAATTATAAGATTCACTGTTATTTTGTCTAATTCTATTCCTACAAACTCCTTTCAGTTAAAAATATTTTTTTCATTTTTTGTACAAAACTGTGTTCATTCCAAAACTTACAAATACGATGCAGACTGGACGAAGTGTGCCTTATTTAGTTTCACTGTGTTACAGTAGCTGAGGCTCTGAGTTGCTCGAAAGGTGTGACAGCCTTTCTTTTCTGACTCAAACTAGCATCCATCTCGAAAACAGAAGGATGAGTAGAAATTAGGAAAAGGAATAGTCACCTATAGACCTGATCCTGTCTTCCTAAGTGTCTTTCAGGGCATTCGGGTACAGTCCAGGATGGTCATGATGCCCCAACAGTGGGCCCACCACAAGAGCTGGGGGGTGAACTGTGACTGCCAGCTGCAGCACTGCCTTTATCTGCTGGCTTCTTGTCTTTCTGTTTGAGGTGAACTTTTGCGTGTCTCTTTCTCTCGTCACTTCTTGCAAACTTGCGTCCACAGAATTCACAGGAGAAAGGCTTTTCCCCTGTGTGAGTGCGGATGTGCGTGGTCAGGTGGTCACTGCGGCTGAAAGAGCGCATGCATATCCGGCACTGAAAAGGCTTGTGCCCAGTGTGGATGCGCAGGTGCCGAGTCAGCTCATCAGAGCGAGAGAAACGCCTGTCACAGTTCTCTGCAGGGCACGCGTGGGGCCGCTCGTGGACAGGGGTCTTACTGGGACGGTTGGGGTACTTCCGCGGCCGTATGGGTTTTAGAGTGAGAGTCTGAGGCGGTGGGTGATGCTGGGGAGGGTGCTGCTGCCCACTGATGAAACCAGGGTGAATCTGTTGTTTGTCTTTGAACGCCCGGATGGTCTCTAGAGGCGTGATGGGCGGAGGGTTGACTCGGATAGGGTCCATGGTCTGGAAGGGCTTGTGTTCCATGACTCCCACTTCGCCCTGATGATGGAAAAGATTGTAGTCAGGTATCATGGAGAAAAGGCTGCCGTCCATAGAGGCTTTAGATGTGGAATGGTAGTCGTTAGTGGGATAGGGCAGGGCGGTGCTGGTGGCTGGACTGTGGTGGAAGGGCACCTGGTCCTGGTAAAGATCACTACAGGTGGAGTAGGCAGGCAGCGGGGGTCCATACACTTGCTCCATGTCTGACGTCTGCCCACCCATGCTGCCCGCGGAGGATGAGGTCTGGGTGGTGACCGTGCCAGGCGAAGGTGAGACCCCCAAGATCCCCGCGCTCACCAGGCTGATGATGTTGTTGTCTGAGCACCAGCCTGAGCCTCCAATGCTGCCCGATGGAGGGGTGTCAAAGGCAAACTTCCCCAGGTAGGTCACGGTTTGCCCGCTGCGATTGCTCTGGAAGCTGGAGCCATACTGGATTTCAGAGGATCCCTTTTCACTGCCCATGCCCAAGTCCATGATATTGTCTAGGAAAATGAACAAACAAAAAAATACCAAAATTCAATTAAAATTTAACAACATTCAAAGGTGTTAAAAAGGGCTGAAATGTATTTAAATCCCCTTCCCTAATTAAAACATCCTGTATTAGCCCTTTTCTGCATTTCTGTCCACACAAAAGTTCACATAAAGAAGTGTGTGCTGTCAGACCTGAAGTCAAGTGAGTGACTGTTGCCTCTGAGACAGTGGTGTGTCTCTCTCAGATCCCACAAGCTCTCATAAATCAAGACCTAAACACCCCCTTTGATCCAGTCATTGTCCCTCAGGAGCGCAGCCAAACTAAATGGAGAGATCTGATTTCTTTATTGCAACGAGGATTAGGGGGAAGACGCCACATCCATCACGCGTGACCATTTAAATTTCAATTCTGGAGCATACAATATCACTGCAAAAAAAGGGATCTCTTTTTAAAAAAAAAAAAAGTACATGCAATACAATTATCTTAACAACAGTTTCACAGATGTATTCATTCATTTTTAAGCTGTATATTTGTACTGTTGCCAAATGCACACTAGAGCAGCAATTTACATTTTTCAGAGATGCCTTTAAAACCCTTACATGCAGATGTGCTTAATGTTGATGGATTTATATATGTAAGGGCTAAACTTGAGAGCTACATTAAAAACGTTTTGGAATACCTATTATTTAACAATACATTAAAAGTTATTCAGTTCTCAATAGGAATTTATAGGCATTAAAGAGAATAAGCCATTATGGACAACAGCCAGATGATAATATGGCTCTGGATTTTATTTTAGAATCTTTCTCTACAAATCTCAGTCTTTAACAAAAATATAGCCAATGTATGTTAGAAGGTGTCCACTGTCAAAAGAAGAATTAATATAAATTTACGTTTTTTCTCAATAGGCCAAAATTTTTTTTTACTTCTAATAACTTCTAATAATGACAGATTTCAAACTACCTTTTCTCTCTGTTTTTGAAATGTGTTCTTAAATACCAAAATTGATTTATTTTAAGGTTTCTATTTCTGAAATATTCACAACTTTATCCCAGTAGTAATTACATTGATATTTAACCATTTTAATTAGAAAAGCATTTTTCTTTTAGTTTACGCAGGAGGTACGTATATAGCCCACTGACAAAGATTTTTTTTAATTGAACTCCTTTATTCTCTGACTCTTAAAAAAAAGCTGTTGACTTTGAAGTGCGCTAAACCCTTGACCGCGTGGATGCTAATGATCACGCATTTATTTGGTGAAACATTGACCCATCACCTTTGAAGGTGGGATTCTATTGATTTAATGCCAGTCTCCAACAACGAGCAGAAACAACGAGTCGCACAGATCATGGAAATTAGCACAAGTATCCGTCCTAACACTGGGTAAAAACTACACTTTAACATAACAGGGGCCTATAAATAAAAGGTACAAGGGCCCGGCGCGTAAACAGTGTCCACATTGGGAAGAACTGCCACACACGCCCACCTGAAACTCCTCCGTGCATGATAAGTTGAAATGTTGTGAATGAATGAAAATGTACAGACTAATTTAGGCTCATAGCAAATAAGGGTACTTAAAAATATATATATTGTGTTATATGTGTGATTGTTTTGTTTTCTAGGCTTTTTGTAGCGAGTCTACCTAAATCTGAAAGAAAAAGAAAAAAAAAGAGTGTGTCATAATTATTTTGTCAACACGGCTCACTTTGTTTATTAAAATGAGCTACATAGGCTACAAACATTGGCTCGGTATAATGAAATCAATTACGCGTTTCAGATGAATATGCGCCTTTTGTCCGGTTTGAAACCTTTGAGGCTTGTCCGCGGACGTGAGGAAGCGCACAGCAAATGCAAGTTTTTTCAAATAAACCCTTTCCCTCAAAGTTTCCCAACTGTACATTGTCATATATTACTCTGAAATCAGGTTTTGAAAATCAGGTTTTGGAAATGTGTGTTTGCTTCGTGCGTAATGCCATAGCGGAGCGCAAACAGGTGCTCCAGACGCTCAGACAACTGTTGCCTTCCTTTACGCGCGCGCCACACTTTTCACACACTTTTGCCCAACACAAAACAAGTTCATCCCGTAAAGTAAAAGCTTACCTGTGTTCATCTGTGAGTAGTGGTTTATAGATTCCGAACTGGTAAAAATATTCATTGACGTCGGGATGTCCTCCTCGGGATACAGGCTATCAGGGATGGTGTTAATTAAACTGCTCATGGTAAGAGGGAGCTTCTCCGCTAGTTTCCCTGTCATAGCAGTTATATAGAGTCCCACATTTAGAGTAGGGACAACCCGCGCAAGGATCCGGCTCAAAAAAGTAAAGGTGAGGATAAAGCGAAAAGGCGCAGGTACAACGCCGGCATCCAAAAGTATCCCGCGCTGGCTTAAAAGAGTAGCGACAGTCACGCCGGTGCCTCCTCTCGTGCGCAGAAGCTGTAGTTGCTATTAAAGTGATCACAGTGGAAGCTTATGGGCTGCTTGTGGGAAGAATATGAAGTCAGTGAATCAATGAAGGAGGAGGTGGTGGTGTTGGTTGCACAAGAGCGGCTCTACTTGCTCTATTGGAGCTGGATAGGGGACTCCAGTCAGGCCGTATTAAATAGGGGGTTGGAACATTTGTGTGACGTAGATGACCATATATGGACAGAGCAGCCCGAGAGCCAGGTCCTCCGCTAGCGTCAGTTAGTTGGTGGAAACTACTGTGGAAGGTAAAGGCTCCGAGAGATAGATAGGGTAGACTACAAAGTTGAGACAAAAGCTGCGGTGGCATCTGATCTGGATTGTTTTCTTTTGTGTTCTTGTCCTTGCGGAAAACACTGTTATCTGTGTCACAGAGAAACCATGTGGTGCACCATTTGGTGGATTATCAGGTACACTGTGAACTTTACGCGAGTATGTAAGAAAGATAAACAGCGCAAGTTGCCATTGTCTCCAGCTTTAGCTTTACTTCTTTTAGTTTAAGTGTTCTTTAGATACTGTTTCAACTCATATCAAATAGTTACACTGCGTTATAAACAACTGAACGCAAACTTAATGGTTTGTAAATAGTGCATGATCTGTGTAAACCCATAGAACCCAAGTTGACCGCTTTTAGTGGAAACTCCAAATAAGGCAGTGTCCGGCTCCGCCTTTTCTTTTCTGTATTTGGGCATATGAGTTCCGGGTGAAGTAGTAGTGGAAAAGTGATCGGAAGTCAAAGACGTTCACACAGATGACAGTGGACAGCGTGTCATGGATCACTTTTTAGACAATTTACCAATACTCATTCAAAGCTATTTTTAGATCTGAAATATTCCCCTTTTGTAACTGCCATCTAGAAATTGTCTATTTTGACCTAACATGACCTAGTATAGTAAGAATAAAAAACATAACTAGCGGTAAAAAACTGAATGAAACGTCAGTGCTTGGATACTTGAGAAATGAATAGTACCTCAATGAAGGCGAAGTGTAAACATAGTGTGTGGGAGAATAAGTCTGATTCATGCTTCGGTGTTTAGGGGGCTTGCACAAATAGAGCAGCAGTGATCTTGTGTGTCTCATTACCACAGACAGGGCCAGCCTCTGTGTGTCTCTTCACTGGCAGTCACAACACAACCAGGGCCATCCTGCTCCTTCTGCACCAGCCTGAAAGAGAATGTGAAACAAGTTGAAATCTGTGCTACAGCAGTTGTACATTTTATTTCAGAGCATATTAATCATAGGTGGATATATTACAGCATACAGTGCCATATTACTACAACCACAAGAATGTTCTTACTCATTAAGAGACTTTCACATTCTTTGTATTCATGAAAATGTGTCTATTGCAAGACTTTCTATGGAACAGTCAGGCCAAGAATGCAGTACTTGGTTCATTAAGTGCATAATGTTGTGCCACTGGGCAAGACACTTAAGGGGCCCATATTAAGCTATTTTGTAATCTTTGTTATAATGTTGTTTCCTCATCAAAAACATACCTGGAGGTGTGTTTTGTTTTTATTCATACATGTTTTATAGACAAATATTGCATATTTAGGTTGAGTTCTCTTCTCAGACCCCTTGTGATGTCATGTGGTAATACAAAAGTGCTCCACTGTATTTTAAAACTCCATACACCTTCACTAGAATTGTTTGGATAATTTCAGGCCTGGAATTGCCAATCTCTGAACTAAAGTGAAAAGACAGCTGTTAACTTGAAAACTACCACTTCATGACATCACAAGGTGGAAAAGAGGATTTTGAGCTTTGGAAATGTAGACAGACTAACAAAGAACTGTTATTCAAACATGTGTGAATGAAACAAAACACAACTCTAGTTAAATTTTTGATAAGGTAACAACATTATAACATGACTTAAAGCTCACAAGAGTCAACTTGTGTAACATAGGACCTTTAACCCAACTCACCTCCAGTGTTTGTGTACTCTAGTGGATGAATGTGTGAGTGACTGGTTTCTTGACATAAAGCATTTTAAGTGTTCATTGGATGTTGAAAAGTGGATAAATTATAAATTTATAAATGTAACTGTAACTAAACAAATTTTAGGTGCTTGATATGAATATATGTAACTTGTGATGTAGTTACTAAATTTAGACACTGGCCACTATTCTAAATAAAAGTGGAACGCATTACACATTAACTCCAAACTACTACAGCTATTATTAACTAACTCAACTATTATTGGAGTATAGGATTGTAAACTGTGTCTATATTTACCTTAAAGAACTTGCACATGTTCACTGGAGCATGTCTGGAAACAGCTGTGCATGTGCCAGTTTTATGAATGCAAATGAGCTGGAATCACTATTTGGTGTCATTACTCTTGGGAGGCGCTGGTTTGTATGTGGATGGAAAGTTGGAACCTACCTCTAACAGTTTTATTTCCTTGACCATGAGTGAGCTGACAGCAGTGCACTTGTCAATGGCTCGCTATCAGATCTTGATTGTAGCGTCCAGGTGCTTTGCATATGAGGATTTCATGGAAGCATCAGCTAATTTTAAAAACTGAAGGGCTGATGTGTAAATATAGTAACATTACTATGTTTTTGCTTATTTTACAAAAGGAAACTGAAATAAAAGAAAAACATTTACAGAAATTGGTGGTTTCTTGTAATTTCTGAAGATTAAACAAGTTCATTTGTACACAATAAACACCTATCCACTTAACACATAAGTTGAGTTAAAATGCCAGATCATCACTTTAAGGATTACAGTTCAAGGGTCAAAATAACTATATGGTTAACATTTCTACTTTAGCAATATTTATGTTTGTAAATTATGTTTTTCAAAAATCGATATTCACTCATTAGCTCTAGTCCACCAACTTTGTGTGTGTGTTTTTTTTTTTTTTTTACACTATTCAGGCTATACTGTATATATAGTACACTGCATTATGGGTAACTGTCCGTCTTCTAAACAATGAGGGTGTCATTGTGAAAGACAAACAATGAGGTGCAATGTGCATCATGAATTCTCCTGTGAAAAGTACTGCATACAATCGCTTAGCAGCAGAAAGAAAATAAGAATGAAGACTTGTATGTAGATTACTTAGTACCGTTTAGGCAATTGATTATACAAATTCCACTTTAATTAATGTGAGTTTGAATAAATTAAGAATTATTAAACTTGTTTCTATATCATCGGGGGAGGAGAAAATATTTTTTAAAGTATTCAATATACAGCAGTGAAACTACAGCTGTCAGTTTTTCCTTAATCATTATACTTCAACTCTCCCGACATTTGGAATAAAAATAAACACGTTCACGGATGCTGAGCAGCAAACCCAGCTGTTTTGGCAGGATATCTCCCAGATATAAAGCATGCAATGTCTATTTGGATGCACAAATCTTGGCATTTCAATGATGCACTGATGGATTCAGTAGGTGGATTTGGAATAATGTGCTCTTACTTGGCATCATGCTATTGTTGCCAATTGGTTAAAAAAATAATAATTTCATGAGGCAAATGGAATGGGTAAAACAAGGTCAAGAGCAGCACTCCAAACACCAGACGGAGACTTGCAGACAGTGCTTTTGTTCACTGTTTAGTTGTTTTGTTTGTGGGCTTGATGCTTTGACTGTGAATCGGGCGAGAAAACAAAGAGGATGCTGGACAATGTGATCAATGATCTCCCAGAGTTCATGAGGAGGCCACACAGGGGTTTAGCGATGCTGGCTTAATCACCAAAGGAACAAAAACCTCTGTTACCTACTTCTGCCTGCCCCACTGATGAGACACCAAACCAGGGTCAATGCAACCACCAACTAAAGATTGATCATCACAACATCAAAGTCCCTCATGGAAATCCAGCTTTTTACAGACATCTGGGGTATTGATACAAGGTCATCCCAGAGGAGGATTGCTGGTTAGAAACCGATATTTCCTCCTGGGGGGTACTCTGACCCACCCGTATAAAGGCCCATAAAGTCTGAAAAGTAGGGTTGAAAAGTTTATCCAGACCAGTCTCTGCAGACCTGACAGGTAGGCCTTGCATACAACAGACCAAAGTTAAGAAAGACACTAGACCAAGGACAAATAAACCACTTTAGATGCTTTTACTTCAGCCATTCAGAAAAAAGAAAAGAGTATGGTTATGACAATTCAACAGTTGGGTCAATGGAAATATGATAAACAATTACACAAACACAGTTCATTTCACCACAGACTGGGCAGTCCCTCCCCCTGCCCTGTCACTATAGAGTATTTTGGTTTAAGTTCCACTGTGGCATCCGGCAGTGCTGCGGTCTCGGTTTCACCTCCTACTTCCTTTTTTAGGCCCTGACGTGTTTCCGCCCCTGAATTTAGAATCAACTCTTTCCACACCAAGTTGTGATATCGAGCCATCTTCCTTCTCTGTTTGGAAACTAAAGCGAAGTCCCCAGTGAGGTCAAAAACTATCTCCCAAATCCTCCCAACCCCCTCTGATACTAAAACCTGCAGCAAAATAAACCAGAATTTCACCAGCACTACTTTAAAAAACAGAAGAATAATATTATGTCATACATAGTAACAGCAATCTCCAAAATTCCAAACGTTTAATAGAGAATTCATAATGTATGCTTTTGTGCAAGAGCAAAAGAAACAAGATGCCTATAAAATAATTTTGGGATATTTTATTTCTAAGAAAACTTGAAACCATAATTCTCAGTCTCTATAGTTTTGAGTGAGGTACTGCAGAGTGGCCACAGGTGCTCCAAGTCCAGCCCGCTTTAGGAAGGCGTCAACATCCCATTTGCCTACAACAGACATAACACAAAACATTATTGTAGAGAAAGACAAATAAGAGTCTCTTTATTTTTCAAACAGAGATAGTACAGATATAGTTAGGTCAGAGCTGCAGTCTCGAGTGCATTCCCACCACAGATCTGTGCATGTTTAAGAGATATGTGGCCTAACTCAGCAGCACATGGCTTGGAGATGTGAGTCACTGAGAACAGCTCTGCTCAAAATAAAACATGTTGCGGTAATGATGGAGGTGGGAACGCAAGGACGTATTGGCAACAAGATATGATTCAATCGCCTGGACTGTTTTTTCCTCCCTCCCCTTTTAAACAAACACCAGACGGCCATCCGGCTGGTATGACAATATCACTTTTAGGGATTTTGTCAAACGCTGAATCCCTGCAGCTTCCCCTTCCCTCTGCACAAAAAAGACAAATTCACAATTATTTATCCAACAAAAAACAAACTATTTGACTTTCAAGAAGTCCTAGAGAAATGTGCATTTTATTTTATTTGGTTGCACATGGGAGTAAATGGATCTAACCACAGGGTATCTTATAAAGCGTATAAATTACAGTGCAGTATAGTATTCTTTTATAGTGTAGTCAAGAAAGTCAGTAAATTGGTCCAAAATAAGGAAAAAGGGATTTGGTTTTTGAATGATAATAAAGGCATGCCTAACATTCTGCTATTTCCTTATGTGTAACAATGGCATTAACAGCTGCTCAAAGACAGTGAAGCCAGGAATTGAATCTCTTCAAATGTGCGGAGCGAGCGATCCTGCAGTGAGGGGAGCTACATGACTGCGTTTGACCCACAGCAGCAGCAGCTCCACAGGTTTGAGCTCAGGCTGTTTTTACCATCAGGGAGCCACTCTGTGTCCTCCAGCTCAAACCAGGAGACCAGCACTTTCTGCGCTCATCTCTCCTAAGAGCTACAGTCAGTTAATTTGCATTTTATTAGAACAAGGTGCATACTGCCAAAAAATGAACACTGCAATATGTGTTTTAATGACTATAATTTATTCGCTCAAGAATGCATTTTGCAAACCCAAATAGTGTTACTCAGGGCCTAAAGATGATACATTTCTAGATGTTGTCATAAAACTGTGAGTGAACCCAACAAAAAATCTGGTAGGAGTGTTTGTAATTACTTTTTCCTCATTCAATTGTTGTATTTGCTCTTTCTATTACTCGTATGTAGCTTTCTTAACATTTAAAATGTAAAGATATTTTTATAAACTTCAGTGGCTGTTTACTGCAAAAGACTCTACACAGATCGCTTTTGTTTGCATTTGCATTTTCAGTGTTGGAAGAGATTATTACTTTTCCATATTAAAAATAAATTAAATATATCTTTTTGTGTCCTGTTGTTGTAAACATTTATATTTAAGAGTCAGAGGTGATAAACCCTAAACATGAGGAGGATTTTTACCTATTCATCTTTGCAAGGTAATACTATGGGTGCCTCTTTAGCCTATACTTGAATGAGTGGCAGCTTACAGGGGTCGGGTCAGGTCTTGGCTCAGGTGGACAATTGGATGAATAATGACCCAGAGATGAGCAGACAGCACTGGGCTACCAGGGACGACCTGCAGGGTGCTCTCATAATCATGTAGGGGCAATAGAGTTAGGTGACCCCAACACCAGACAGGACATGACCCCAGTGACCTTTTGGCCAAAGGTGAAGTAAGAGTAATGCGCCGCCTCTGCAGAACCCCTCCAGTGAAAGAGGGTTTAACACGACTTAGAAACAGGTACTGCTAGCATCTCAAACCTCTTTTGTTTTAGGATTTCTTGTTTCAAAATGAATATTTGTTTTGTAGGTGCTTAGAATCATTACATCAAAGCACGAAAAAAATGGGGAGTAGGGATGCACGCACCGTGATGATACTGGTATGGGATATCAGCGCCACTATTGAAAATTTTTATGGATCGAATAACGACTTCCTAGATATCGAAGATGTCAATTTTCCATTTAGATTATAAATTGGTATAATAAGATTTACTGTCCAATGTTGGCCCAGAATAATAATTTGGATAATTGTTTACCATATGTCATTTGTGATTAAAGACAATAATATATTTTCAGTCTCTGCCCTGGTATTGGCTGATATTGGTAGATACTTAAAGCCAAAGTATCAACATCAGTATTGGAACAGATGTGTGTGTGTGTATTACCAATTCAAAACTGAAATGCAGGACTAAACTACAGTGACCTTTTAATGTGGATAGGATATGCTACATACTTGTTTCTGAGCCATTCTGTACTGTATTACATTTACTTTACACAAACATAGTAGCTGTGTAATGTCTTGCTCAAAATAAGCTGAATTCCTGTTATCTGTGGTCACTTGCTGATAATACACAAAGCCTTACAAGTGTCCTTAAAATAGTCTGTTTGTAGTACGGCGCTCTTCTGCCGCTCCCATCTGCTGGACCATGGAAAACACAGATAGTGATAGTCAATTCTTCCTGCCTTGCCTCTAGTTTCCACCTCTCCTTTGTTTAGACCTGCTTTAAGCAGATACAGAAAAGCTGCATGTAGAGGTGTGGCTGGTGTCTTTTTTTTAAGAACAAGCAGGATTAATAAGTGGTGGTTAATAATCACATAATAGCATCTCACTTTGTTATTTCCCTCACAAAAATGCATTTACAAAGAGACTGATGGATGTGAGTGCGTCAGTGTGCTCTGTATGCTGTCATGGTTTCACAGGGCAGATGCTGGTTGTGATAGGACCTGGGTCGGGAAAGGGTGTCACAGAGATTTTGGCTGCCGATCGCTCCTCACAGCCTGCTGTCATTTTAGCAGCTCACATTGTCATAAGCGCTGTCACTTCGGAGATGCGGTCCTTAAGAAATATGGCACACATGAAGGATATATTTGGAGTGTATTCTTAGAGGCTGTCACACTGCATATATACTTCACTTAAGAGGGATTATTGGCATAGCTATGGGAAGTATGTGCAGCAAGGCAAAACAGTATAAATAAATGCGGTTGGAGAATGTATGCAATCATCTGACGCTCTTTTCTGTTATGCTCGCAGGTGGCTGGAACCTATCCCAGTAACTACGGGCCTTAGGTGGAGTGTGTTCTGGGCAGAGGCCAGTTAGTTGTTGGGCTAATACACACACACATACACACAGACAACCATGCACGCACAAATATTCACTGAAGGGTGGGTTGCACACACATATGCTTTTGTATGGAGGAGGTGAGACACACTACCAGAGTATCCAGAGAGGTCAACCCTGCAACACTCCGTCATGAAAAGAGAGATAAACATGCACCTATTGTACACTCCAATGGATAATGTTAATAAATTATTGTGATATAAACATACTGTGATCTCATTCCTATATGGTATTTTGGTAAAATTGCCATATTGTGATTCACAGTTTTTGTTTTAAATGCAGCTCTATATTTAAACACACATTTTCCCAAATACTCCTCCAGTTGGTCAGCCTCAGCAATATTCTGTGTGAGAGACAGGTAGATTTGCAATAAAGTGTGAACTTTTAGTAGATGCAGATAGCTTTATTTTATATCACCACAATCTGCAAAGCCTACATTTGCATTAACTGTAAGTGAGACATTTGATGTAATTTTATATTTTTTCTCATATCTCATATTTCAAAAAAGACAATATTAGTTTTAGCAAACCTATATTTAGCAGTGTAAAGTTTTGTTTTTGAGAATACTTGTACTTGACAAGGAAGTGTAAAAAAAAAAAAAAGAAAAAAAGAGAGGCCAAAAAACTTAAAAATGCCAAAGTGCTGCTCTGAGGCATCGACTGCTGGCTGAAACTCAGGCCCCACAGTAGCTCCCGAATGGTGGCTGTGTGACTCCACGCTGCTCTGATTAATGGTAGAGGCTGTGGGTGGGTGGTAGACATGGATCTGCCCATTACCACACTGCAACATTGCAAATGGCTTCAATTACTGTGGAGTGTGCTGAGCTGGCAGTAGGGGCTCCAGGAGGCAAGATGAGCAACGTGCAGCGGCAGCTAACTCCACTGTGATCCATTCATTCGCACAATGTGATCATCACTGAGTGTACTTCTACTATTGTGTAATTTACCAGAAAAAACAGCCAGACGGATTTGTTCAATTTTTCATTTTTAAAAACTCCAACTGTTCTTGTGGTGTTTGCTGGGTATGTTTGGATGAACTGGGGTCAGAGGGTTGTGTATGTGCATGTGTGTGTAGGCTGCAGTAACACTAACATGCCCCCGATTGTAACACTGTTTCCTCCACAAACTGACTCGCGGGGACTAAACAGTAGCAGCACATATTGAGGGCTTGCCAAGTGGCTGACAAGTATCATGAGGGTCTGCATGCCCACGCCTGCCCCACACCCGCCCACCCCCACCCACCCTGGCACCAGGGCGGGCACAGTCAGGGACAGCCACAGACACGGGATTCCCTCTTCTCATCACGCCCCTGAGAACTGAGCCAAGTGCACAACAGTCACTTTATTCAGTCAATCAAAGCTCACTGACCCCTCGCACCAGCACTGCATCACCTACCATTGTTCCTAATGCTCACTAACTATGCAGTAGAAGAAATGTGTGGAATCATTCTATTGCAGTATTGCTGTATTAAAAATCATCATACAAATCTGAGCCTCTTTGGTAAGAATATTCAGCCGTAGACATGGGATGCTATTGAAATTTTGTGTCACGATTATTATGGGTAATATTTTGTAATTAAAGATCACGACAACAAACTATTCATAAAATTGCTGATGGGCAAAAAATTTTATGCATCATGTACTTAAGTTAAAAATAAATTGTTATTCTGAATAGGTTCTGTATTTATTTTCTGTGCACTTTGTTGGTGATATAAATAAGAGAAATCTTTCTGTTTTTATTGCAATTAACTATACCATATTGTTTATTGCCCCATCTCATTACAAAGTGTTGTTGTCCTTAGCTAAGAGACATCATATTAAGTTTAGCTAAATACATTAGTTAATTAGGTAGAAAAGATACAATAACATTTACCGATGCTACTGAGCGAGGGAGTGGAAATGCTAAAGGAGCAGATTTTGTTAAATAAGCAGCCAGGACAGCATTGGTCAAATCTGTTCAGCTTTCAGGCAGGGCCAAAGATGAAAAGAAAAAGGGCTCTGAAATTTGCGATAAAATTGAGTCAATGACTGTGTTAGTGGAAGTGGAAAAGGATCATTAGGAGACTCCCACCCACAACTAAATGCTTCCCCTTCACAAATCACATCAATGAATGTCATGGGCTATGAGAAATGCTCTGTGTGTCACACCACATGGAGGCAGGACAGACGTTAATAAGTGAACATACTTAACGGAGGAGGTGGGGAGACAGGGATTCCCTTCGGTTCCTCTTTCGTTGTTTGTGTGGGGAAACCGTGTTGTCGGCCAAGAGGAGGCCAAAAATAATGCAGCAGGTACAGCATGGAATATAGCTCCAAATAATGACTGTAAAATATCCTCTGTGTTTGCATATTAACTGTGAGGTGATGTATGCCTTCATTTCGTGTGCTGATACTGTGTATGTTTATCTATTGAGCAATCATCATGGCCAGCTATTCCCATCAAACGAAACATTTCATTATCTGGGACTGGATGAGCTAATTTCATAGAGAAGAAAGGAAGTGCTACATCTGGAGGTGAACTCATCATGTTAATTGAGGATGGGTGGACCCACTCAATTCAATGGCAGAAGAAATGGGGTGAATATTAGAGCTCGGAGCATAAACCCAATTTTGGAAAATGTCAATAAAAAGAGTGAGCAAGTATTTCTCTATTTCAAGGACAAGAGTACATTCACAATCAAATTTCAACCATAAACAAAAGTATGGTCAAAATATTGTTTTGGAGATAGCGTTATTATATTGTTTATGCTTTAATAATATACAAACATTTTCAGAATTAGGGATGCCCCGATACAATACTGCTATCGGATATTGATGTTGATATAAAACATTTTGGTGCATCAGATGTCGGCTAAACTGATATCTTGGAAGCAGATATCCAATCCATCATAAAATTATGTAATAAGATGATTTACTTCTCAATATTAAACTTGTATTTTTACAAAAGTGTTCTGTAATTACAAAACATATTTGGACAATTTTAACCATATGCTGTTTTGTGTTTAAAGGAAATAAATGATGTTTTCAGTATCTGCAGTAGTATAGGTTGATAGCGGGTATGGGTAGATACATAAAGCCTAATATTGACATCGGTATTGGAACAGAAAAAGATGGATCGGTGCATCCCTATTCAGAATTAGTAAAAAAGAAAAAAGAGCTCTTGCATGTTAAGCTATTCCAGTATTATTGACGGCACAAAAAGCTAAATGAGTTTTGACTTGAAGCAAAGCAATGAATCAAGAGTTTCCAAATGTGAGTTAGGGAGAACAGCTCCAAAGTACACCTTTTTGACATTTCACTTTTTGCAGTTTTTTGACATCACACTGAGTTCAGCCTAATATGCTGCGATTGTTTGCTGACATAGCTGTCAAAACTTCAAACAGCGCAGACTGGCAGCTCCCCTCACTAGCGTCCACAGAGTTTCAAGTCTCAAACCTCCTTTTCCTCCTTTTCCTCCTTTTCAAATCAGCGCCCATGACCCGACTAGAACCGACAGACTGACACGCCTCCTGTGGGGTACTGTATCAAGGAGTAGAGCCCACATTTCAGAAACTGTTCTTCAGGGGGTAGGAGAAGTCAGGAAGTACAAACAAAACAATAACAAACAATGTCTTCAGAGACATGGTCTATGGATGTGTATAATGTTATCAGTGATTTGAATTAAATATGCACATTATTGACACGGTTGACAGGGATTTCAACTTATGCAGAGAATAGACAGGGGCGAGACAGACTTGTGCAGGTGTGCGTGGGAGCCAACAATACCACAGCAGTCCTTCTTGATAACCTCATTAACATGTCCCTTGTTAAGTTCAACCACTTGAAGGAAATTGTCCACTTGAAGCAACTTGAAATGCTTTGGTTAAATGTTTATAATTATTTGCAAATTATGTCAAATAGCCATTGTTGATCATAACCGGAAAAACCAGGGCAATGCGTTGGTGTATGGTATTCACTAATGTATTATATAACACACAAATCTTATTCTGAATGAACCAAATGTGGCAGTGGTTAATGATATAAGCTGTGTAAAAATAAAATGTCATTGAGACGTGATATATTGACACTAAGATGAGACAACAGATGTAAATAGAAAGCTTAAAACCACAAATGCTTCACGAAAGTACAAAAGCTTTTAGTGCTGATTCAACACAAAATCAGTGGGAGTTGTCAGTGGAGAATTTGACTTCCTCTGTATTTGTCATGTTCTAGGAAACTTTCTTGGACCCTCACCGCCTAAATACAGCCACTTACTATGTATATTATGTCATTATTCTATTTGAGAAGTTTAGCTTGGAATTTTTTATTTGTAAATATAAACTGTCTTCAATATTCCAAGTGAAACAATACAGATAAGTACTGTATTAATGTAATAAATATGGAGAATTTAATGGTGGACTCTTCCTAGTCAACACTAGACATACACATTCTACAAATAGTGATTCACTTATTGACTCGAACTTTACACTATTGAAACTAAAATACTGATTGTAATTATTTTTTAAAGTAACAATTTTCAGGCCATTTTTACTGCCATATTGTTTGGAAATTCACCAACATATTTTAAGGTACAAACCTAACAAATAGTAAGGATAATAAGTAGAAAGATGTCCCTTCAGTGTCAGAAACACAGGGAGTCAGATCATTCAAAAATCATTCTACAGCAAAAACAATGGTGTAAAGTCAAGGTGCCGGAGTACAGGCTGTTTACCTCGGCTAGACTTCTCTGCCTCAGTCAGTGTCACTTGGGCGTCTGCCGGCTGCTCTAACAACATGAACTGGTAACGGTGAAAGCCAGATTTGCTTGGTGGTGTCGGTGGGCGATAGTCTGCATGGTACAAGACATAGACGTTAATGATAAAAGCTGGAAAGGTAAGGTGAAGATAAACATATACAGTGCAATTCTCACCATCTCAACCAAACAGACAATATAACAAATACTATTTTTATTCATGCTAATCTGATGTGAGTCATTTCAAAATTAGCAGGCCGCTACATTAGAAACAAAAGGAATAGGATAAACAATCACTTACCAGTTAGTGTGGTGCCTTTTATGTGTCCTTTTTTGAGTGAAGTGCCCTGCAATATAAATAAAAAAGGTACAGGGCAGTCAGAATCTTCGTAAGAAAGATAAAAGACAAAAACAATTATAATGTAAGAAACATATTAGAACAAATGAATGTAGTCAATTTCTTTCTTTTATATGATCTGTACAATGGAGGTGCAAATTTAGACCTTTACAAAAGTGAAGTAGCTTTGACTAATTTATATATTTAGAATACAGTTCAAGGTGCTCTTATTACTAATTAAAAGATAAAAATTTGGTTCAGTATGGTTCATGAACTGACTAGGGTTATATTATTAGCAACCAGCAAGTATATTTCTAAAATTTAATTTAACAGATAGAGATGATTGCATAAAATAGTGTCCCATATTATTAATGACCTCTTGTTGCCTAGAAACTCTTGTCACCCAAATAAAGAAGAAGCTTTTCTCCATAAGCCTTTTCCACAGAGATAGTAAGGTTAAACTCCCTCACCCCCAGAAGCTCTGCAAATTGTACACAGAGATGTTTGTTTAATAGACTTGGCTGCTCACTGCAGCACGCTGTATCTTTGAGTGGGAGGAAAACCACTAAATATGTTGTCTGTGAAATGGCCCAAAACCCACTTGAGGTAAGCGTGGAAGTCCCCCATCACAGGCATCAAGTACACCTCAGTCTGCAGGCCTGTGGAGGTTTCTGCACGCACAAGCGCCACCCACAGGTAGATAAAAGAATTACAGCTCAGGAAAGGCCAGTTCTTAAACTTTGATCTTTCAAAAAGACTAAATAGTTACACTTTATAGTAAATTTTAGATAAAAAAAATTTTACTCTCACACTGCACACCTGACACTTAACCACACAATAATGACTATTCGGGATTTCTTGCATTTCTTCTGTTCTGGATATATATTTTTCAGATGAAAATACTTTAACTGACTGCTATTATGCATCCATAAACAAAAGGTACGAATCTTCGTTAAACATTTTGAGGTTCATTACTGGCATATTCCATGTAACCTTTACTTTTCTTGGAGAAAGTTGCGGCAATGACTATAAAATGCTAAGGCTATCACCAAAATAAAATGTTCAATACTTATAAATATTAACACAGACATAAGTACTGAAAGCCTCGATGTCTCAATACATGAGCTTGTGCAGTCTTTCCAACACTTATCAGCGAGAAGAAGCTTTATTTAGAAATACCAGGAGTCCTGCCGCCTCAAGCATCCAAACCCATCACCATAGAAACAAGTAGTCAACATTTGAGGATGCAACATTTTCCCATATCTCAAAAACTCACTCTCCATGACACCCCTTGCCCTTTTTAATATCATTTCAATACAGAGAAAACAATGGATGTTATGATGCAGAGAAATAAGAGAAGGACGCTGTTTCTTAAACCAACAAACACAGCTCCTGCCTTCATAAAAAGACTGGTCTGACTTTAGAAGACGCATCTTACCAAGTGACCCTTTGGTGAGGCATCACACTTATCTACAGGACATTCTCACATGGTGGGCGGGATTTCCTGTGGGACCCCTGCTGTGGAGGCGGAGCATATAGCATTTAACTTTTTTAGAATAAATGATTGGCAGCTGTTAATTGGGCCAGTGTAGCAATAATATAAACAGTTAAATGGGGTTGCAGAGTGGACTAGTTTTCATTATTTTAGAGAGAGTTAGGGTTCGAAACATTTCAGACTTTGAAAGAAAGTTGCAAAAATATTCCAATAGATGTCACAACCATCTGGAGCCTATGTTGAGACAAGCAATTTAACTGCAAATACATAATCGAGATTATACATCCTCTACAATAAATAAAGATAGACTTACAGGGAATGTTTTCTGTTTTGTAATAACAATAAGGGTGTTGTAAAGACTTTCACAAGCCTGACACACCTCTCCTAGCACTATAGTCCAGCTCATTCATGTTACAAACATTCCACACTTCTGTAGTCACAGCTGCCCTAGGATAAAGGCTGCCAATCTGAGCCTCACACCACTAGTCATTTTGTAGCTGTACAGCACAGCCTGTATTTTACCCAACTGCAAATATAGATTATTAGCTCAAATAAAGCTAATTATCAAATGTAATTAGGTTTATTTGAACTAATAAGGTTGTACTTCGGTACAAGATTATTGAATATATTTTGGTCCACTAATTAATTAAGCTTCATTCAAAATAGGCCACAATAACTTACATTGACGTGCCTTCTCTGAGTCTGTTGAGGAAATTGGTGTTGTTATGTCAGCATGGTTGAATTATTTTAACTTATATTATGCGTATATATATTTTGCACATATAGCTTCTTTGCACAACTTTATGAATTTTATTTGTATGTGTTTTTTGGCTTCTAATGTCATCATTATTGACCAACTTTCCTCTATATAATATATATTTGATTAAACAAAAAGCCATATATAACATTTTAATTATTACATAAAGCTAATTTAAATATAACAGTAATAAATATTATTCAATACAAACGGCACAGAGTGAACGGGAATATTTAGTAGAAAATGACTAGGCTCCGCTCATGTTTCAGGAATACCCACTTGTGTTGGAGTGAGTGAATCACAAAGTGGGCAGTGTGGGACCCACTACAGTACTGACAGAGGTAAAAACAGAAACCATCAGAATTGGCTGCTTTGCTCTAATACTTACCTTACAATGCTAATACAATTGCTATATTAATTACACATCATATAACATTTTTATAGTTCTGGTATGTTTCAATAGTCTACAACAAGTATCATATCATTTTAAAAAAGCTGTCATTTTTGATGTGTTGTATGCCATGGAAACTTGACTGTGATGGACATGTACTAAGGATTTGTAGTGAAGGGCAATCATTTTATCTCCTGAGAGTTACTTTAACAAAAGAAAAATGTCAGAAAGCTACCTTTCCTAAGAGTATATTGAGAATGGACATTTGTACACCTGGCATGGCCCAGTCTTGGTGGGAATTCATGAATAGCCCACACTGTCTACAGTTACTAGCCTAAAACATAATATGACGATGTTTTATAGGGGTAAAGCATAGTTCAAGTACCACCAAAGGCCAAAGTTTTTGAAACTTTTCACATCTTTAGTTATACATTTATCAGCCTGAGGGAGAAAGATGAGCCCTCTTTTGGTTTAATTCACTTTCATCACTTCCTGTTCGGAGTCCTCTTCAGAACACGGCCAGTGGGTGGGACTTTGTAAAGATGTGGTGGGTGCATGCAGGGTGCTGTTTCACCAGGACTACCCAGCGGCCCACCCTGTTCTCCATCCATTTCTGTGTGGGAGAAACAGCTTCCCTTTATCAGCACTAAGTCTTACTCATGCACCTCAATACACTGTGTATCAGCGGTGCCTCTCCTCCTCCACGCCCCGCGCACCCACACCTACGCCAGGCAGCACCCACGTCCTTTTCCCTGCACTTCGGAGAGCCTCCTTCTCCCTGGTACTTGCAGTCAGGCTAACAGACGGGTAGAGAGAGCATGACAGATGGTGTTCACAGCTCTATTTCTGAGGCTGGACTTGCAGCGCCACAGCTACTCCCCCCTCCCCCCACTCGCCTATTCCACTGCAGCCAAGTGCTTATGACAGCCTCCCTCATCTACTCCGCGGTAATTAAGCCCATTCATTTGCAGGGTTATTGTGAATTAAAAGTCTGCGTCTCCAAGTGAACCAAGCAGAAGTGTTCACAGGTTAAACATGTTTGGTTTTATGGGGTGACGAGATATTTAACAAAGAGAATAATCAGTTTAAAGAGGAATGATAGATTTAGAGGATACTAGGCAGATTAAAATAGGACTTATTGTAAAAGTTTAATCATAATAATTAATAATAATATACTGTACAATGTCAAGGACCACACAGGCAGATGCTACTATACCAGCAAACTGATTTAGCCAGCGAGTCCTGGGGAAGCTCTGATTTGTGCATGGATCAATACTGGTCCACAATTCACATGGAGTTCTCTCCTTAAATGTTGTTACCATCAGATTTGTATGCTCAGAAAGAAGGTCTAATTTACTATACTTGTTTCATTGTGTGATTGTTGGACACTTAGCCATCTGCTTGTTTGCTTAGTTTTAAAATGTTAGAATTTATACAGTATTGTAAGCATTAGTCATGAAGTCTGTACCCAGTACAAATGCTTGGATAGCCATAACTTTATTCAAATGCAGTGAGTTCTAGCATACAGCTTCACCAGATGGCTTCACTCTTCTCGTACTGACTCTGAACCTGAGGTCCAGTGCACTGCAGCCGCTAAAGAGCAGTGGTGCTCCATGGAGCAGGCAGATGACCGCTTGAGCCAGATGGAGGCCGCTCACAAACTGCTTCACCTTCTCCATCTCCACCTTGTTTTACTGTGTCCAGCCTTTGCGGCCATGTGGAGCTGGTGGCACAGGGCTTTTAAACAAACTGAAGTGCGATATGTGTGTGAGACACCAGATACAAATGGACCATATACAGTTATTTAAAATTATATATTAGAGTGGAGTCACCAAGGACATAGACTTTGGGTGAATGATCTATGACATTTAAAAGTTTGTATTATAATAATTATAAACCAATTATTTGAGAAGAGTAACAAGTTATCTTAATCTGCAGTATTTTTGGCAGTAATGCCTTGGCAGAGTGAGGAAATCTAGTCTTAGTCAAATCCACAATTTAGTTAGGGGTAAGTATAAATCAGTAGCTATGGCTTGAGACTTGGTTGGGGATAAATGAACAGGTCTAGCCAGGACAGGTTATGGGGAATAATCCTTGATGTGCTTGAGTGCATTGACAAATTAACCCACTTAACAATAGAGCCCACTGGACTAATGGCTTTAGTAGCTCATTTGGCTTTGGTAATGAGGTGAGCTGGAAACACAAACTGTCCAGTTATTAACTCAACTGTATCCTGACATCAGCTGACATATAATGTGAAGAACCAAGACTTCTTCAGACTCAGTTCATTAGCTGAGAAGCACATTATTACTCGAATCACTGGATAAGAAACTATCCACTCATAACTATAATCTATCTGATCTCATT